GCCTGGGACATTTAATAAGAGTCCAGACAAGGCCTTGAGCAGGGAAGACTCCTGCAATGACAGCGATAATTTATTTGTTTTCTCCTGCACTTTTCTTGAATCCCCAGAAGAAACCACTGCTTGGTCAAAGCTAATCAGGATATTTCCTTTTGTATCCATACTGTTTGGGAAAGGAAAATACTACCAGGTTGGTGCAGAGGATGTGAACATCTGTGACAGATGAACTTAATGCTGAGCTATGTGTTTTGGGCAAAGCAGTCTTTACCCACATTAGCATTTTGTAGAAGTGCATATTGAGGGAAGGAAATAAATGTGAATCTTGAAAGCAAAATTGATTGGAAAAGCTGCATTTGTAAGTAAAGTGGGTTATAAAACTAGAGCTGACAGAAGCTTTTAAAAAAGCATGTGCTAACTTCTGATTTAGTGCTCTGTCTCTTGGAGGATCAGAGCTGGAGAGCCGAATGCATTGCTTGTCGTTGTATGTGTTTAATAATAGCTGCAGACCAACCTCAGAGGTGCCAATACCTAGTGGGTGGAAGTCCACATTTTTCTGAACTTCCTGCATGAGTCTGAATAAAAACCATAAAGAGAGCACTGTGCCCCACACAAGCCATGTAACTGGACATGGGGAAATGCTACCTGACTTGGCTGTCTTTTTTTGTACCCTTGTGAAGGGCAGCAGCAGTAATATAGATAGCCAAGAAACCTGGAGAAGTTCGTCTGCTAGTAGGAAAAGCCAGGTTCCACTGTAAATTGTAGGCAATCTGAGATTAATTCTAGATTGACGTGTCCTGAACAAAAACATGGCTTTGTAATCCACTGAAGTTTTACACTGTCCCATACTAGGCTGCAAGGACTCATCCTAAATTTTGTCATTTTCAATATAGAAAACAGATTCCTACCTAAGTGGGCAAAAACTGTCCTTCCCATCCGATGCATCAACGCACCCTTTGAGCAGAGCTGTAGCACTAAGCCTGCTTTTGTTTTGGTGTGTTAATACCGAAGGGCAGTGATGGCAGCAAATGGTTACAGGTCATGTCAGCCTGGCTGTTTTGCAAGGGAAATTTCTCTCTGCATAATAACTATTTGCAGGCATGAAGGACTAAGGGAACATGTTGTTTCCTCTCCCCTGATTCCCCATATACTATTTTCTGTACTCATCTGCCCGTAGCTTTAATATCATGCTCATTAAAGAAATCCCAGATCAATTGCATGAAGAGAAGTGGGGCGGGCTGCCCAGGGCTTCTGGAGCTGTAATAACATGCAGGCCGACAATGGGTCTAGTGTTCCTTCAGCTGATGATTAAATACTTGGCTCATAAATACCAATATTATGTAATTCCTAAATCAAGTCAGCAAATTGTGACCATATGGGAGACTTTCTCTTTGGAAAGATTTGAGTATTCCAAAGTCAGTCTGAGGAATAAAATAGGCTTCTTATCAGGGGTTGGTGAGAGCAGCAGTAGTGACTTAATCCTCTGTCTTTCCTTGTGCCTTGGTTTCACTTCACCTCCTAGCTTGAGATAAAAACCATGATCCTAAGGCCTGTGGGGTTATGTGAGTAGGCCCAGGACTGCGGTGTTTGCTTGAGTCCTGGCAGTCAGCTGTGCTGCCTCTTCAGAGCTTGTTGGCATGGTGGGCAATGAGTGCAGGTGGGGACCAGCAGGATGTCTTCTTACTGAAAGGCCTAATTTTAACGGGTGCTGAGTACATCCAGTCATCTGTATTTTAATGGGTTGTGGGAGCTTTTGGGCATGTGAAGTGTGTTCCTGACGCTCTGTGTGTCCCTGCCTTACTTGGGTGTAAAACCATGCCAAGGCTATGGCATTTAGAGGGAACTTGGGCCTTCTTTCAACATCCTCTGCTCAAAAGGAGACTTGACAAATACTTTTTTTTTTATGTTTTTGCCTGAGGTGGCAGGAGGTTTAGCTAGCGCTCTTAAGGGCTGTGAACAGTTAGAGTTGTAATTATGGGTACCAAAAGGCTTTTAATTTTCTAGGTAAATTGAAACCTGGCTCCTACTGACACAGCACCTGCTGTGGGTAGATTCAGGGAGTTGCCTGTTCCTTGCCAGTCTTGTTCCCTCCAAGGAGTGTGGTGTGTTGCAATCTGGGAAGAATACCTGGTGCTGTATCCTCTGCAGGACTGCAACAGTTCAAGACCTGCTCCGTTTCATTTGCAGGCAGTTTTCTCATTGCCTCTTTGCTAAGAGTGCCTCACGGTGTATAGAAATAACCTTGTTGTTTGTGTCTGAGGCAAGGGCTTTCTCCAGCAGTCACATTTGCTACCCAGAGAGCTGTCAGCATTTTGCTCAAGGGTTTCTCTTGCTCTTGTAATATCAACATTTACTGCTTTTCCATCACTACTGGTTTAAATAACTCTTGGCATTTTATCATCCAGATGTGACCAGAAACAACCAATATGGAACACCTTGTAAAAATAATGGAGTGTGAGAACAGGTAGTTGAGAGAACAAAGGTACAACTGTCTGTCATCATTCGTTGGAGGAAATCATTGTCATGAGCTTCCCTTTTATCTTCTTTGTGACATGTGAGAGGTCCTGTTTTATTTTCCTGTTTTGGAGGAGGAAGCCAGGGCTCTCTGCTGGACAGAAGGTCCTGAGGTCAGTGCAGCCTAGTGATCAGAGAATTCCAGCAACCTGGATTCTTCCACTAACTCTATTGTATGACCTTGGGCTCGACTCCCACTTAGTGCTGGGAGGTCCAGCTTCTCACCACCTCAGAAGAGCCACAAGCTTCATTCATCTGAGATGTGACTTCCACAGGGATCCTACAGTATTCCACTTTTATCAATAGCAAGGAGACATTTCTCTTGTGCTTGATTATTACATTGAGGAATGCCTTCAGAAACATCATCCTGATGAATTTGCACTGATCTGACTGTTGTTTGAGTTCTCTGGGCAGCATTAGCAGTAAAACAGAGCAGGACACTGAACTGATGTTGATACGCTAAATTCAGGCAATTGAACTGAGCAGGTTCCTTTTGCCATGCTTAGCAATAACAGTGAGATTCAGTGGTGCTTGAGTTGGGATTCTCTGCTGAATAAATGCAAGGAAATTTGTTACAATCTTAGCATGGATACAAATGTTGGCAGCCTCTGGGAATTCCCTCTCGTCTCTTTTACCAGTGTCTGCAGCAAGGAGGTGATCCTCTGCTGAGAATAGTCAGCAAGCTTTGATGCTGAACTGCAATGATCATTTTCTTTGATTTGATCAGGAAACTATGGTCTTCCACTGAAGTGCTGTAGCAGGAAAAGGTGCTGATCGCTTTGTAGTAGGCAGGCAAATCATATCTATTGCTGTAATTAGAATAGATGTTACAGCAGCTTCAGGTGACTGTCAGGTATTTGCATCTGTAGTAGGCAAACGTAGCTTCAATCTCAATTTAATCTCATCCACAAGAGGAGTGAAGCCAGAGAGAACAGAATAAACTCTGCAAGGGAGCATCCATGGTGTGTCTCTGACAGGCAGCGAACTTGAGCCAGTGCAAGGTCATTAGATGACTAAAGGTGATTGATGAAACAGAGGGATGTTGATCACCCACAAAAGCTAAGAAAAGCCTTTCACCTGATAGATGTTTCTCAGTGAATTTCTGTATTGGAGGGAAGGACAGATGGGCTGCAAACAGAAGGCTAAGTAGGGATGGGCAGCTGCTGGGAGAATGGGTCACAGTGCCTGTGTGCAGAGCTTGCAAGGCCAGTGAACCATCACCTTGGGTGGCCTCCTCATCTTCCTCCAGTGATTAAGAGGACCTGGCTCCCTGCAGTGATTACGGTGTTTTAAGCAGCTTGGTCCAGCTTGAAACAATTACTCAGCTGCATGGGCACTGAGAGTCGAAGCTCTGGACTTTGCTGTCGTTGAGATATTAGCCAAAACCAGTGTGATCCATGACAACTGGAAGTCAATGCTGTTGAACATTGTCTCTCATTTGGTTCCGGGAGGCTGAAGATGCTGGTAGTTTCTGAGATCAGGTAGCAATTCTCTAGGAAGGGGAACCAAGCTTTGCTGCCTTTTCCTGTAAAAGGTCCCCTTACAATGTTTTTAATGCACAGGTAGGTATTTTATCTTTTTAAGCTTTCTCTACAAAAGATTCAGCCAGTACAGTGACTCTAATGCAGTAGGTTTGTTTGACATCAGGGCTAATTAGCAATTAACCAAATCTTGGAGCAAGCACTCTCAGACCAGATTTTTTTTTTTCCTTCCAAGCAGGCTAGGCATAAAATTCTATCTGCGTAATTTGCAAATGCAATTGCTTTAATTATGCATCCAAATTGGGAAGTGTATGCTCAAAAGATAGATAGCTAATTCTGTGCACGTCTGATGATAATGTGTATACAAGTCAGCACTGTCTCAAAATCTGCTCCCTCTGAGGATAACTTTAAAAAAAATAAAATTAAATCCTCTCCTTTCGCAAGTTTACAGCAGCTAGACAGCCTGTATACCAGTTTAGTCTGTGTTTTGTTGGTATTGCTTGTCATTGTTTTTGTTTTACACAAGGGAGTCATTTTCCTTTCCCAGAGCTAAATCCTGTCAACAAGGATCAGAACATAAGGGTTAGCTGCTGTGAATGTACCTGCTTCTGCATTCAAGAAATTCCCTGCCCCTAGAGATGGCAGGTGCAGGGAAGTGCAATAGAGCAGGGAAGGTGAAGGGAAGGAGGACACAGTGCATCCGTGGGTGGAGGCTGGCAAATGGGCCAGAGTTCAGCTGGGTACAGCCTCTGCTCTACCTTGCCGGTGTTCTGCCCTGACCTCATTTATTGGCACCATAATAGAAAATCCTGGTGCTGTTTTTTCTTGCACCCCATGCAGGTGACCTTGTGATCAGGCTGAGACTTGGTTCCTACAGCTCCAGCCTGGTGGTGGTTCTCCTGACTGCATGGGTCTGGTGCTGCCAAATTGGTACTAATCTCCCCTGACAACTGTCAGGCCCTGCCTGGCCTTGCTTTGTCCTCACGGTTTCCTCCTTTTCTTTTTACCCAGATGAGCAACAAAAGGTCGAATAGTTTCCGCCAAGCCATCCTTCAGGGGAACAGGAGGCTGTGCAGTAAGGCACTGCTGGAGGAAACAGGGCTGAGCCTATCACAGAGGCTGATCCGGCACGTTGCATATGAGACCCTGCCACGAGAGATAGACCGCAAGTGGTACTATGACAGCTATACCTGCTGCCCTCCACCCTGGTTCATGATTACCATCACTATTGTAGAGGCAAGTACCTTAATGCCCTGTCTCTGGAAACTCACCCCATGCTGCCCAGGCTTTTGCTGGGACATGACCAAAGACTAGCGTGGGACTAGTTTGGACCCAGACAAGGATGAGTGTGAAGCTGATATGAACATCTTGGCTTGCCTGTGTGGGTGTGTATAAGTGGAGACTGTGGTCCTATCTATCTCTGTGTGTGGTGCTTAGTCATTGAAGCAATTTGTGTATGAAACCACAGAGTCTGGGAAACCAAAGCAAAGTTTTTTTGAAGAGCAAAAACCAGAATAGTTTTAGGGGTAATTCAAATAATGGAAATAGAAATGAAATTTCTATGTTCTTTGAATAGAGAGAAAAAGGAGGGAATGGAAACTAGATTAAATATCCTCACCTTATTTCTTTCTCCAATAAGGCCTTTGTACAATTGCTAAGTGATGCACTGGAATAAGCAAGGAGAAGGATATCCTGTGGCACTGATCCGTAGGGTGCTGAGTTCCTCTGACTCAGTGGCTGGCTTGTTCCAGAAAGCCACATACATACAGGGTTATGCCAATGTGTTGCACGTTCCACATAATAGGGAACTTTCACAGTGAATGGCTGTCGCATGGGAGAAAAATTGTTTTACAGTTGGCTTCCCATTCATGATTTTGAGTTGCAAGGTGTTTTTCAGTTAGAGAAGACATTTGCTAACCAAGGAATCTCCCTGCTCTTCTAGGTTGCCTTTTTCCTTTACAACGGAGTGGTATTAGACAGATTTGTGCTGCAAGTCACCCATCCCTTATACCTGAAGAACGCACTACTTTACCATCCTCAGCTCCGTGCTCAGGCTTGGAGGTACCTAACCTACATATTCATGCATGCAGGGTGAGTACTTGCAAACTGGAGAGATTCCCCACAGCTCAGGTTCCCTAGGGAGAGGCAGGAGGAGGAAGCAACTGAATCAGCTCATAAATCAATTTTTAAAAGCCCCAAACACAATAATTCTAAATTTGTCATATAATCTGTAGCTGAGTGTTGGGCAATGAGAAGCAAACCTTCACAGCTGTCTGAAGTTAGGAGGCAATGTAAAGATCTTAAGAGATGCTGCTCTTCTCCCTAAAACTCACCAGACTGAAGTGCAGTGTCCCTCTAGAGGAGGAGTACAACTGGTGTAACGAGTCTGCAAAGATGCTGAACTGGTATTTAAGAACTACATGTTGTATTTTTGCTAGACTTCCTAGTTGAGGTTGGAAAAGTCAATTAAACTCCCTGTGCCTATATTATACCACCACTTAGTGATGTTGTCCCTTCTGTAGGGACTGAGGTAATGCTTAGAAGCCTGAGTCAAGACTGACCTCCTGTTTTGTACACACTGTACAAACACCAGTGTTCCTGAAGAGCTGACAGTCTCAAATGACCAGATGGGCAGAGAATGGTTCATCTAACGCAAAAAATAAGATGCAGAGTAAAACGAATTGTCCTTCATTCCATGGGAGGTATGTAGCAGACTTGTGAAGAGAATCCAAGGCATGGCGATTCTAATTCTGTGTTTCTGGACTGTGCTAGTCCTCCCAAGATTCAAAGAGACTTAATTATGTGATGTTTGTGATGCCATGGTGATGAGTGAGTGTCACAGGAAAGTTCATCTCTGTACAAAACACTCTACCCCCTCTGTGAGCTTTCTCAGATCATTATCTTCACACATTCCTGGCAGATAATTGCAATTTTCTTTAATTCTGTCAGTGAAGAATCAGAGCAACAAGATTTTTAGCAGTGGTTTATAGTCTGAAACTGGATAAAGATCCTTTATTCTTAAACAGAAAGCTTATATTCCCATCAGTCAATGTTCTCCTTTAAAAGGCCAGAAAGATCAAGAGGATCTTTTCCTTTTTCCACTGGGAAGCTGATGCCTCTTCTCTGCCATGGAATAACAGCCTCAGTGTGTAATTGCCCTTGAGTGCAAGATGTGCCTCAGATCTCTAAATAAAAATCATAGTTGGGACAGAATGGACTTGACCCAAGGGGAGAGTAGAAAAAAAATTCTGGAGGAAACTTTTAAATGTGGTGGCATCTGTACTCTGCATGCTAAATCCCTCAGAAAAAGTCCTGTGTATAGAGGTGTCAATCTACAAGAGGAGACTGTTGGGCTTAGATGTGAGGCTGGTTATGTAATGAGAATTAGAAAGATCCATCGCTGAGAATGTTGGGGAAACTGGGCTTGTAAAAAGAAGGACTGCTTAATTTTAACTAATGCAAACTAATTTGTATCTGAGTTTTTTCTTCTGTTTTTGTTTTTGTTTGACTGTATCACTTCTGTAACCACAGATTGCTCTGGAATTCCTTTGAAGAGAAGCACCTGCACAATGCCAATTTTTCAGCTCTTAAATGTCTTCCTGTGTCACTTGGGCTTCCTTTCCTAACCAGCGTAAGGTCACCCTTATCTGTAGCAGGCAGTACTCTGGCGTTCTCCACATTTATTGTCTAAAAAATAACAGGTTTATTTCACATCTGTGGCCAGCTTTGTGATGAACAATGGTGAAGGTGGTGCACAGAAGTCTCATTGTTTTTGTGACGAATTCCAAATTCTTTAGCTACATAGCCCTCAAAGCAATGGAAAGTCCTGCTGGAACAATAAACCCCGTGACTTATTTGCAGTAGCTAGAGTTAAGCTAAATGTTCACTTATTGCTAACTCATATGTTTAAGCTCCTTTCATATCAGGAGGACAGATAAATCTTAGAAGGGTAATAATGTTTGTAGTGGAAGCCCATCATTCTCCTCTTGTTTTCAAATGAGAGGCTAACACAGTGTCATGGGATTTATTGCTGTTCTGTTCCCAGCTGAGACTTTAAGATGGTAATGTGGACTGCTGCTTAATTTAGTGCACTTGGTCTGCTTTTTTGAAGAACTAGTGACAGTCAGAAGGTGCCCAAGAAGGCAGCAGTTGCTAAGGCTTGGGTGGCTGTGCCTCTAGAAAGATTCCAAAAATGCATGGACTGTGTGATGGTCCTGATGGAGAGAGCTTTGTCAAGGGCTGAAAAGCCAGGCAAAGTTGTAAATTCTGCCCTTCTGCTTTCATGGAAAGCAGACGTTGATTATCGGGGGCCCACACATTTGTAACACTGCCATAACTAATGACTTGCATTGATGCTCAGTCCCATTTGTTTGGTCTCAGGGAAGAAGAAAGTCTTTAATAAATCAATGGAATTGTCATTTCAAGAATGACGCGTTCAGCACCGGCAAAGGCTAATTATATTTTATGGGTGCTTATTGACTGTGGAGCCTTCAATGCTCTTAGCATGATGGGGAGAGGGAGTGAATGGGATCACTCCTGGAAAGTCTTTTAAGAACAGCTGTGAATCAGAGCGGTCACTTTAGAGTCTAGGATAAACTTTGACGAGCCCTTACAAAAGCTGCCTTTGAGAAACAAGCCCCAGTGCTTTGTGTGAAAATGTCAAGCGCTGCCTCATGACGTTAACTGCCAGCTGAAGCTTCTTTCCTCCCCACGGTAAAAGGGCACTTGGATGGTTTGACTGTATTCTGTGATCTCTGTGTGACCTTTGCTGGTTGTTCCTAATTTGATTCCCAAGTTCTGTGTACATGCAGGATGAGAATGGGTGCCAGAATATACCCATGCCCCCATGGCCTCAAAAGCTTTGAGGAAGATGATAAACATACTCAGTTACGTTCTGTAATCTGCTACAATGGCAAACTGTGGTGCTGAGTGTCTCATGCAGGGAGATAAACCTACTTTTAGAGAAAAATTGTGGTAACAAACCCATTAAGATACCCAGAAAGGTCTTTTTCCTGAAGCATCATTTCTAGCAGCCTTTTCTGGTCCTCCTTTAAATCCTCCTATATGAGATGATTGTATCCTTAGTGCATCTATCTTGCCATCAGCACTTTATGATGTATATGGGAAATTGCTATGGTAACATGAAGAAAGACTAACACAGTGAAAATACATGCAACTTAAACCAATTATTTCTAGGGGAGCAATTAATTTCTTGTATAAAATACAACATAGATTTACATTAGATACGTTGCACTTCTTCCCCCAAAAGACACTGGTCTTCTTCACTAAGGGTACCATTGGGTCCTTTCAGCCCACTTTTCAGTGAAAGCAGTCGTGTACTTTTCATACAGAAAAGAGTATACTCCCGGCTCCAGCAAGATGTGGCCATTTAGCAAGGGTCACAGCCCTGTGAGCACAGGATAAATCTCAGATGCTAGCTGAGTATTGAAGAGGGAGCCTGTTCAGATGCCTGTTGCTGTTGTTACATCACTGGAAGACCCTGCAGGTGTTAAAGCCATGGGAAAATACTTGTATGAAGCTTTGAAAAGTAGCAAGACAGTTTTGTTAAGTATTATTGATTAGAACACCAAAGAACTTGCTTTGAACATGTTGATTTGTCATAGCAGAAACCTGCTGCACGTGGTCTTTACCTAATACGAACGTCCTAGCTGTCACACTCTCTCCCTTTAGGCTGCAAGTGATTCCACATTTGCTGATGTGTGCAGCAGGGTTTGCTACGAGTCTTAGCCCTACTCTTTCCATTGTGTTTAACAAGAGTTTTACTGAGTATGATGGGAACAGGGGAAGAGAATAGGCAGCTTCACTGGATACGCCTGGCATCCTGCTGGGTGGCTAACATCAGCCAGACATGAAATACCCTCTGCTTCCCGCTTTGGCCATGATCACTTGGAGGCTGGCTCAGCAGAAACGGTTGGGGGGCAGATAGCACAAACAGTATTTCTGCAATTATAAAAATTAGGTAGCACAAACAGTATTTCTGCAATTATTTCTGCAATTATAAAAAAAAAAAAATGTGTGCGAGAAAGAAACTATCATTGTTTTGGGACTGCCAGGCTTACCTTGCTTTTGATTCAATATCTGCTCCCCATGATGTCAACATATGTGCAGGGAAAAGCTATATCATTAGGAGAGAAAAAGAGGAGTCCAGTTTCTAGCTGTTTTTCGTGGCTCTACTGCAATCTTGCTGCATTTTGGGGGCAAGTCATTTAACTTCTTTACATTTTTTTCAAATCCTCTATTTAAAAAATAAAAATGAAACAAGAAAAGCAAGTAACATGTCTCACTAAGAACTGAATGTGCTGTGAGGTCTTTGGCTGAAAGGCCATGGGAGGATATAAAAAGATGATGAGCAGGAAAGAAAGAAGGAACATCACAACTCTGTCTGATTGTTCCAGGAACCGTTGTTTTTTCCCAGTGTTAAAATTTACTCTCATGAAGCAGATGCTATTTGATCTCCTTTTGAGATATGTCTGTCACAAGGTTAGAGAAAGGAGATGAAGAGTTAGAAAAGAGGACAACTTTTTTTTCCCTTTCTCTCCTTGCTGCAGGATAGAACACCTTGGACTCAATGTTGTCCTTCAGCTCCTGGTTGGGGTTCCCCTGGAAATGGTGCATGGAGCTGCAAGGATCAGCTTTGTGTATGTCGCTGGAGTTGTAGCAGGTAGGTTACACCTCTAGGTGCCCTAGATGGAGAGGCACCTGAAAGTGATCTGTGATGAATTAACATAGAAGAAATGTTTTGTGACATTTGGATATAGGAGAAGAGCAGTCACTGATTTTTCTGTTTTGAAATTCTTTTGGAGGCTGGAAGTGGGAAATATGCTACAACCTGACATCTGTTTCTAACTATCCATAGGCATAGTGTTTAGGAGACCTGCTTTAAAAACAACAACCCCCCCCCCCCCCCCCAAAAAAAAAAAAAAAAAAAAAAAATAGCGTTGCTGTAGCTGGTCTTCCTGAATGTGGTAGTATGTGGTAGTCATGCTGTCATAGTGTACCTTTTCTCATGTCTCATAGAAGCCTAAAAGAAAAGCATCATCATAGATGCCTGCATGAAGAATCTTCCCCCTACTCCTTCTCACCCCTAGGTCCTGTGTCAGTTCTTTCTCCATTTGTCCTATGCTGTCTGGTTCCTACAGCAAAAGCCTGAGTAAGCAAGAAGCATTTGGTTGTAACTTGTGAGCAGCTCACAGGAATCTGGAAACTCATTTAATCATGAAGCCATAGGTTTTGATTGATTTTTAGTTTGTTTTGTATTGCTTTTATTTATGTTTGGCATTTCCAGCAGTTTGGAGGTGATGAAAGTTAGCTGACAATAGATCAACATCTAATTAAAAAAGTAGAGGGTAAGAACAACCAAGGGCTTTGCTGTGGAACTCAGACAAGGATTGACTGCCTTAGCTCAAGATTTATGGTGATTTTCTTTCCAGCCTCATAACTTTATTTTTTTCATAATGAGCAGATAAAGCTATTGTAAAATAGGCTGCATTGAGTGCTAATAAATCCTGCATTCCAGAAGGGAGACCGTGAAAAGAATAATTGGGCTAGGACACCAGACTAGGCATGGTACAAACACCATGCTCATTAACGGAGAGAAAGCAGTTAGCAGACCAGCTCCAGAGTCCCTTGCCTATTATTTTAATAAGCATTAAAGTGGTCCCCAGCCTGCAACTTTACAGGCACAAACTCTTCTACTTAGATAGTCTGACAAATCATGGGTCTTCACTTTTGTACATACACATTGCACATCTGTGCCAGGTAAGCAAAGCAAGTAAACACTGAATGCGCTGTGACTGAGAGCAGGTGAGCACTGTGAGTTGCCAGCTGCCTCTCAGATTCCGGTGGCCGTGGGCTTGCTGGCAGGGTCTACAGGGCCAGAGACAGGCTTCAGTGGGCATTGGGCTGGGCTGAACACTCAGGGCAGTGCAGGCTGTACCCAGAGCCTGAGTGAGGCTCACTAGCCCAGCCAGCATTATTGGTGTGTTTCTGCTACATGAATGATCTCACCTTTTTTTTCTCAGGCTGCCGCATCCTCATAGACTTGCCTTTCATATCTTGTAACCTGTAAATTGCATGCCAAGTAAATAAAAGTGCCAAAAGGAAAGGGAAAACTTCTGTCCTTTAGTGCAGGATGGAACTATAAAGGTGATCAAACAGTCTCAGACAGAAAAGCATCCCACGATGCCTTTACCTATTTGAGTTGTTAGCCAGTTATTAAACATGCCTTATTCTTTGATGTATGCCAGGAGATGGAAGAAAAAGTATACGTATGCTGAGGATCTGGCAATTTAAAAATAAAGCAGCTCCTAAACAACCAGGAATAAAAAGTCAAATGCAGACATGCTGCAGTGGCCACTCCCTACTTTTATGTTTTTTTTTTTCTCATTGTCTGGCTTTGCTAAAAGGACATGTGGAAATGCAGAGTGAGAAGTGTGTGCTCAGTGCTGTGTCCAAGCATTTAACTGCAAGTTGTCATTAATCCTTTCTTAACTTCTAATTAACTTTTTCCTTAATGTCAGTGCTTAAGAGATGAAAAGTCACAGGGCCACAGGGTGAAGAAGGGAGCTGTGAGCTGATTTGGCTGGTGGAACCTTGGCTCTGTCTTGACCCAGACTCACCTGAGCAATTAGCGAAGAAGTCTGTTAGAAGATTCTGTACTGCTGATGACTCTCTCAAGATTTGTTGTTTCATTTTTCCCCTTCCCTACTCATCATAAACACCTTCATTAACCCTGCCTTGTGACACCAAGTCTGCCTTTGTCTCTCTTCAGTTACTCTTAAAGTTTGCAAAGAAAGGAGCTTTGAGCAGGTCCAGGCCTCTAATTGCAATAAAGAGAAGCAGTGTCTATGTTTGGGTGTATTGTTATCAGTGGTGCCTTTATGTGATTGACCTGTCATTTTTCCATCTCGTGTTTACTGCCTCCATCCAGGTTATTTTTAGGTAGTTTTACTCTGCACTTTTATAAGTAACAGACTGTGCTTTGATCAGAGTCCTTAGTTTAAGTTACCAGTCCCCAGTTCCTTTTCACTGTGCAAATATTTAATCTTTCCAGCATGGGAGCTACTTCTTTTTTATTCTCAAAAGAGGGAAAAGACAAAGACACTTGTCTGTCTTCTGCTTCCTTGTTGCTTTGATCAGGGTGTAAGTACCTTTTGCAGCACAGTGTTGAAGATACGTTGCTGCTTTGTTCTGGATGCTTTTAGCTTGGATGCTTTTAAAGAAGGTGGAAAGAATTGGACTGATTCTTATTTTCCCCTCTCCTTTTTCTTTATCCCTGTATTGCTGACCTGCAGCATTTAACACAGAAATGGCAAGTTAGTAGGGCTGTAGGGTAGGAAACGGTGGCTGGCAATTTTAACAATCCTTGTTCTTCCTCCCAGGATCCCTGGCAGTGTCAGTAGCTGATATGACAGCACCTGTGGTGGGCTCCTCCGGAGGCGTGTATGCACTTGTCTCAGCTCATTTGGCCAATATAGTCATGGTGAGTACCAGAATGACTGTCTAACCCCATATAAAGTGAGTGAATCCAGCCAGATAGGTGTCCCAAGGGACCGGAAACAACTGGACCCTGTTGTTTGTCATTCAGAGCTTGCCCAGTTGTCTTGTCCTAGTGGCCTGGTGCTGGAATGGAAATGTGATACTGTAATTGGCTTTGCGCACTGATGGCTAGCAGCTTGTTGGGAGAAGCCAAAGATCCTGGTGTAATCCAAGTTTTATTATCATACTTCAGGCTATCAGCTCTTCTTGAAAGGGGTTAAAAGAGAAGGAGCTGACTGGATCTGCAGAAGTTGCAGAGCTGTTTCTGTCTGCAGAGCATCATGTTGTGTTAGGGAGCACCTAAAGAAATGTAATGTTTGCTGGCTTTATGTGCAGAATATCCCTTATCCGCTTTTGTAAGGATACTGAAGCTGAACCCTGGGCATAGTAGTGATGCTATCTTTTGGCTCTTTCACCTCATGAAGTACTTTACAAAGGTCAGTGAATATCAGCATTGTCATTCCTCTTAGACCTGGAAACAGTGGCATATCCAAGGTCGTCAGAAAGGTGGTGGCAAAGCCCAGCACGTCTGCCTGTGCAGCCCCTAAGCCGATCGTCAGGTGATGATGGTTTTGCTGAGAAAGCTTTTTGTTTCTGATTAGGATTTGTGTGTAGTGGTTCAGGAATGCATATCTGTCCTGTACCAGCAATGTCAGAGCAGAATAACCATAAAAATGATGGTAATCCAGCCTTCCCTGGGGGCTGAGTGGGATGATAATGCAAGTTGGCTGCAGTAGAGACAGAAGGTCTGTTGTGTGTGCTCTGGAAAATGTGCGTGTGCGTGGTGGTACTTGTGTCAAGCCTAAAAGAAACCTTGTTTTTAATGCTAATATGCTGTGAAATCAGTAGGTTTGGGCTGCAACCCGCAATGGTGCTCCTCCAGGCAGCCTTTGTGGCATCTGGGAGTAGGGGGAGTGAGCAGCTTCCTGAGCAGAATAGGTCTCCTTTGCTGTCTTTAAGCTTTTCAAAGCATGAATGAGCTGGGGGCTGTTGCCAAACTAGGGCACTTGAGTGTCTGACAGAGCTAAGGAGCGGAGGAGAGAGCATGCTCCTATATTACAGCATTTCTTCCTGTTACACTTTTTTTTTTTTCAGTGTCTTGTGTCAAAGAGAACCAGGAGGGTGTTTGTTCTCTCTCATAGGGTGGTAATGCAGACACTGGTTCTTCACCCTGAGATTCACAGGGTCAGAGGGGGGTAGAGGAGCTGTTGCTTTAGAGGAACAAAGCTCTGCCAGGTGTGTGCAGAAGGTCTTCACCAGTTACCTCCCCAGACTTCTTACAATGTAAAACGGCCTGTCAGTTCACTACTCATGGGACTCCTCTGAATCTATTTAGCAATTCCTACAGTAGCTCCTATCTTTCTCCATTATCTGTTGTTTCTTTGCTTTTGTTGTTTCTTTTGTCCGTGGTCTCCCGTGGCTAGTGGGAACTCTTCCCAACCTCTGGAGAATGTTAAGGCCAGCCAAAGGCCAGGCTGGTGTCAGGGACAGAACTGGGTCAGCTGGGTCTCAGGCAAGGGAAGTCAGTAAGACTGCCAGGAAAAGTGATGGATTTTCTATAACATGGAGAAGTCTATAATATGTTCTTTATGGCTATGTCCTCTGGGATTGACAGATCTATGTGTGGTGTGGTGAGTGGAAAATTCACAGCTAGGTGGTTAAGGCAATAAAAGGGGTGTGTTCCAAGGGATATCTGCCCTTGATGCTCCTCCAATACAGAACTGAATGTAAAATCCCTCCAGGTTTGCATGCAGCATCACTTTGTTTTCCTTGTCTCCTCTCCAGAACTGGTCAGGAATGAAGTGCCAATTCAAACTGCTGCGCATGGCTGTTGCCTTGATCTGTAGTAAGTATCGTGCAATACTTGGCACACATGTAATCCTGTCTTGTTTGTCCTTGTCATAAGAGTTTGTGCTGATTCAGGGTGTTTTGGCTTTGCAGCAGTTTTGGTAGGAACTTGCAGCTGGACCTTCTGGCAGCAGAAACCACATCACTCTCAAATGCAGATTTTGGCTTTCAACACAAGCATTTGTAAATGAGGATTTGTTGTTAGCCAGCATCTGTAGCTTGTGGCATTTGTGAAGATCTGGGACTTAAGCATCTCGCCTTTGAATTCACAAACAAGCAGTGCTTTCATAATGCTCATGTTTAGGCATCCTAAAGCATTTTCTATGTGGGATGGCAACCGCATTATACACATATTAATGAATTATCTTCCAGACATATCCTATCCCTTGGGTGGCATGATAAGGGAAACTATGCTTCTGTTCATCACAGACAATTGTCTTCAAAGTCTAACTCAGGGGGAGGCCTTTTTTTATGGTTTTGGTATAAATTTTGGAATGGGAATATTCCTTCACCTGTCTGCACTTCCACAAGGCCAGACCACTTACCCATCCACTGGGGAGACCTCATCTCTGTGTGCCTTACACAACTGTGGCTTCCCAGCTCCCCTGTGCTCACCATACCAGGAGGTTTCTCTTTTACTCTGTCTCTTCAGGGCTGTAGTGCCGCCTGCAAGATGGACTTAAGAAGGGATAGACTTATACAATTAATTTGTTTTTCCTTCTTTGTTCCAGTGAGTTTTGAATTTGGAAGAGCTGTGTGGCTGCGATTCCACCCCTCTGCTTACCCTCCATGCCCACACCCCAGCTTCATGGCTCACCTGGGAGGGGTGATGGTTGGAATCACCCTTGGAGTTGTCATCTTGAGGAACTATGAGCAGAGACTCCAAGATCAGACTTTATGGTGGATCTTCCTTTCTATTTATCTCATTTTCGTGTTGTTTGCCATCTTCTGGAACATTTTTGCCTACAGCCTGTTGGATCTGAAACTACCTCCCCCTCCTTGAATGCATGGGACAGAAACCTCTGGAGAGCAGAAGTCATCTGCCAGCTAAGTTATATGAGCCAAGATGGAGGATCTATTTTTCTATTTAGCTTAGGGGAGGATGATTATTTTGAACACAAGTGTGTGCTGAAGGAGACACTTAAAGACCTCACGAGTGAATGGATTGATCTGTTTGTTCATAAATCTAGCAGCCACTGTGCTGCCTGGTCTGAACCCTGCAGTTTCTTCACTGCCAGGGCTCCCACTGGGCAGCTTGAAACTGGGCATTTATCACTTGGTTTGTTAGCACACATCAATATTTTGTATGGGATATTTGCATTTTCCATGTCAGTGTTGGAATTGCAGCCAGTTTTTGAATGAATCTCCTCAAAGTTACTGAACACTAGAAGGGAAAAAGAGCAGTCAATTACTAACTAGAGATTTGCACGGTACTCACAAGGCAGATTGGATTTGGTTTTTACGGATACGTCTGACTGTTCAGCCATACCAGTGCCACTGTCTAATTACTTGAATGATTCCTTAATGAAAATTAAGCCTCTGGTGAAACCTGTCTTACTCACCTTTCAAAAGGGTCAGCAAATCTTGACCACCCAAAGCGGTGGAGACTGGTCTTCAACTACAGGTCATATGCAATTGCACTATAAACCTTGGGAACTCTTTACAGTAATATGGACACTCACCCAGAGGTGACTTTTACTGTGCATATTTTGTTTGATTTTTATTTCCTCCCCCCAGCCTGTTGTAGCTACAGGGTTTGGCTGGGGTTTCTTACTGGGGGATGGAGAAAAGAAGGGCAAATGTTTATTTGTGGTTTTATCGGTTGACAATCAGGTGCTGCTTTCTTCTCACGTTGTTTCTGGACATATTGTTGTAACAACACGTGGCCTGTAACACTCTTCCAGCAGGCTCTTGCTGTGTAAGTGGGACCTGGATCACCCGCAGCAGCACAGGGTGGGAGCTGTCTGGGCTTTACCACCATGCAGTCTGATTGGTACCAGGTTTGTCCGCTCAAGTCAGTGGAGTCAAATGAGGTTTTATACCACCGGTTTCAACCTGAAGTGGAAAGCTTGTTACAGTGATCATTGTGAAAATGATAAAGCTGATTTTAAATTGACTGCTATGTTTTGAGGAAGGCAAGTATTTCTGAGGCAATGGAAGATCAGGGGCTCCAAGCAGCAGTCACTTGTAGTGATGCCTTTTTGCTTAGCATAGGTCATGCCCAGGTTTTAGGAATCTGGTCTGCAGCACAGCCCATACAGCAGCATGATGCATGCTGCCTGCATGGACCTGGGGGCCAGACTGGAATGTCTGTATGGTGCATGCCTCTGTAAGGTGTTTGTTGTCATGCTTCTCACTTTAGAGAGCTGCCAAACCACAGCTGAGAAATATGGATGCCTTCCTTTTCTCCCCACTACGCCCACCCATTTTGGCCTAGACTAGCTCCTTTTTTTCCTTTTTCTGTTTGCATGTTGGTGCCCAGCCACCAGAGCCTTCCACAGCACATCTCATGGGCAGTGTAGCAGTTAGGTTTTCTGTGTAGCAAAGGATTTCTGTATCATGGGCATTATTCTCTCATCTGTGTAAATGGTGCTGCCAGATGATACAACAAACTAGTAGGAGCTTGGCTTTCTAGAGGGGAAATTCTTGAGAATTCATCAGCTGTCCACTTATTTGCCTTTATAGGAAAAATCTCTCTGGAAGGCTGAAGTTCTCCCACAGTATCTGCTAGTAAAAATCCTGTTGCCTCAGCAAAAGAGAAAGGGGAGAAGGAAAGTCTTTCTACAACCTGGAATGAGTCTTGTCTGCAAAAGGAACAAGTTTTGCCATCTTTGTGCACAGAAATGGAGTCTCTGAGGGCAACTGCACCTTTGTTGTTCTGCATGGCTGGCATGTTGTTCATGGGCCCTCAGATCAAGGTACAAAGGTCAGAACTCCATTCATTTCAAAGAAGAGGACTGATCCCTATTCTATTTTTATCTCTGCAGTTTGGGTCCAGCTCAGAGAAGTCATAAGAGTTTACATGTGTTGCTTCAGGTCAGGAGCTTGCCAGCGAGTTTCATACTGGTGGAGACATAGGGAGACAGGAAGGAGGGGGACTAGAATACTGAGGAAAGCATGGCTAATGCATAAGGAGGACATTCCTTTCCTCACCCATTATGAAACCTTTCTGCTTGCAGATGCCTTTAAACCAAAGCTGAGCGGGAAGTGAGAGTTCCCCTGCAAGTTCTCTTAAACCTTTGAAATTCTAGGTAGAAAATGTTAATAAATCCCAGATTATTTTGTCTATAATTTGTCGGAGTACAGTATGCACCAATTAACTTTAATTTTTGGTTTCTTAGCCAAATGCTACTTAATGCCCATCAGTTTCTTCCCAGGAAAGTTTTCTGTGCCTGCCAGTGATGTGCTCTGTGGTGAAGCAGCAAGTTACAGGTTTGAGGGCTGCCACTTCCTTCATCAGCCTCACCCTGGCCAATATATCTTTGCCTTTGCTTAGGAGAATGAGGGAGCTGCATAGGGTAGTACAGGTGCCCTTCTTTCATCCTTCATCTGTAAGTAAACATAGTTTACATGAACTAATTTACAAGAAAATTACAAAACCCTCACTTTGAGCTTTTGACTTTTTCTCTTAAACTATTGTTCATCTTTGCAACTTTCATTCCTGTCGTCCCATGCCCTGTCTGAGGAAATCTACAAGCAACCCTCGGGATCAGAAAGGTCAGACTTCAGAACAGCACTAGATTTATTCTGAAGAAATGAAACCCTCTCACATTCCTGTTCATCAGAGCTGAAATGTCTCCCCTTATATAGAGCAGGTCATATGCAGAGCCTGTAATACTGCTCCTGACTCCATAAACTGATAGATTGTTAGCAGACGAAGTGCTTAAGTTTTTATAATTGTTTATATCACTAAACTGATATTGTGAAAATTTGTTATATTTTTTACAGAGTATCAGGAAACCCAGTTACTTTGTTTTCTAATGCACCCAGGAGTGCCACAGTGCTGCAGCGCCAGAGAGCTAACAGCAAACAGGCTTTTCTTTTACCTCCAGATGTCCTTGATGCTGCTGGCTTATGTCAGAGCTTTAATATTCTCCATCCTGCTCATTTGTGGTTCCAACTTATCACAGTCAGCAATGTGTTCCTGAAGGAACCATCCACTGAGGGACTGCTTTTGGTGATTGTTTTGGTTTTATTTCAGATGCTGACAGAATTTTACATGAATTGGTTAAAATATGAATCTTTTGTGTGGATATGAAGTGCCAGAGAGAAAGACAAGGACTGTTACCAATGCACAGATTTGAGACAGCGCGTGTTAGAGGAAGCTATTTTATGCCTGTGTCCTTGAATGAGGACACAGCACATGGAAAAAAAGCCGTTTCTGTGCTGGACTTCCCACTTAGTAAGTATATTGCAGCACTGGTCCAGAGAGGATGGGTGCAGGGAGCAGTAGCGCAGCCTGGGGTGCTGGTTGTACAGCTCCTTCAGGGACACCTGCCGGCCGCAGGGAGACAGCACAGACGGGGTCCAACTCAAAGCCTTTTACTGATCTCTCATCCAAGACGAGACCTGAGAAGTAGCTCAGACAGCTATGGGAAAGAGGGTGGCAGAGAAACTGGTAGAGCAACGTCCGTGGGACTTGCAAATGGCACTTTTATTCCTAAATATTTGGATGCAGGTAGAGATTAATTTTGCACACATCAGTAATTCTATAAGGAGAGGGGGAGGGTTCAAATGGAGTGATGGGAGAGGAGCTTACCAGAAACAATCTCTGAGTGAGGTGTAGAGTGGTAGAAATGATGAATTCACTTTTGAGTTTTTAAGCCAACATTTCACGTCATTTTTATCCCCATTAGTTAATGGGGAAGATTAGCACTTATGTGGCATATTGTGTTTCTTCAGTACTTGCTCTTTTAGCAGGAGGAAGTATTTTATCAATGGAGGAGGGGGAGGCCAGAGAAATTTTCATTCTCTGAGGTTGCTGTAGTAGAAATAAAGCTTAGGGATTCTGTGTCCCAAGACCTTGCTCCTTCTGAGGATTTGAATGCCCTTACACTTTAAATTGATTAGATAGTTTCAATTTGAATTGGTTATAAAGAATAGAATCTGACATATTTAGAGCTGAGACAAAAATAACAGCTATCTGCTGACCTTACAAGACAGCTGCTGTTTTGTGCCAATATTTAGTCTCGCAGGATCGTGGGTAGGATTTTCACACATACTTCAGTGAGTAAAGAACTTGGTTTATCCATTTATATGGATTCAAGCTCAGCCCAGTTGCTTTGGAAACCCCATCCACTGGCTTTACCTGAAGTGAAACTGGAAAATATGAATGCAGTTCAACACCAGCAACCTCTGGAGGCAAACTAGGATCCAGAGAACAAAAGCACTTCTGGGATTTTAGCCTCTTTTGTCAATATCACTGCTGTTGTGTTTCTTTTATAGTAGTGGCTGCTTCACAGTGTTCTGTAACATGGCTCAAAAATTCCTTCTGTGATCACTGAAGCTGAGAGCTGGTTGTAAATGAAAACAGTGCAACTGTATAAAGAAAGAATCACATGTAAGACAGAAACAAAGCTTGTTTAAAGGTAAATGTATTTGTAATGTCACTATTAATAGCTTTTAATTGGAAAAAGTTTTCTAATGAGGTATTTTTGAAATGCCAGAAAACTTATGTTTCAGGGTACTTTACGATACAGAGCACAAAAATATTCTGCAGGCCTCGTTTAAGTAGCACAAAAAAAAAATAAAAAAATTAATTTCCAGTGAGCTTAATAGATACGTTAGTCACTGGCTGTCTCCTGACTCCCCCAGAGTGTCTGATTAGTTTGCAAATAAAGCTAGACTTGTGCAGCTTTTCTTTTGCTTACACTACTAATCTTAACAACACATCCAAATGTTAAACACAAAGCACTAAACAAATGTAATTTTCTGCCTTAAAATACTGAACGTTACTTGCCTGTTAAGGTCAAGTAAAACAATTATATTTGCAAGGTAACACGCTATGATATGTTTCCAAATATTTTTGTATTGTGTATGTTCTGTATATTTTTGTTGTAACAATATTATTTGAGTGCAGAATCCATTAAATTTTTTTGTTGGTGGATTTTTTGGTTTTGTTTCTTTTTTAATCAAATAGAACTGGTTTACATCACGTGCCAAAAATCAACCAAGAAAAAACTTTCAGAGACAATTTTTAAGTTTGTCTACAGTCTGATAAAACAGTAGAGAACTGCTGCTTTATTTCTCCATGAGGTATAACAAGGACACAGAAATGGCTTGTGACTGGTATTAAAAAATCAGGTCTTGTCCCACTATTTAACAACTGAAGCTTTAAAGCAGTAGTGACCTCAAAACTGAGGGGAAGTTGACGACCAAATACATTAGACTGTTTAAAAAAAAAATTGGGGAGCTAGGGGGTGAAAGGTTGTTGTCTTTTAACATCAGACTTAAAATCTCAGAGCCAATATATTCTCATCTCTTGATCCAATAGTGAGAACAACGTATCCAGGAGGTTCTGCAGCAAATCTCTGAATGATTTAGCTGTTAAATAAAAGGGGAAGGCTTATTTTGAAAAATGTTTTGTGTTTTTGTTGGGAACTGTTGTGTTAAAGTATAAATTGAAGAAATGAAAACGTAACTAGCAGCAGTCCCTGCCAGATTTGTTACTCCTAAGGGGAGGCAGACTACTGCTACTGTATGCAGGACTCAACTCTTGGTAGTAGTTTTCTGCGTTTAATTGAGCTTTGAGGCATTTAAAGTTTTTTTATTCACTAGTTGAGGAATTTCTGCCAAAGGGTAAGTAAGGTAGATTTTCATCTATTTGTGTCTGTTAGTTAGTACAGGAACTGGTGTCTGTTAACGCTATATATTTTTCTAGCTGGTTAAAATAATTTTAGAAAGGCAAACTGAAGGACAGAAATATTACCAATTCCAGAAAATCTGTTGCAGGAAAGGAGCCAAAAGTTGGCAGCCTTGAGACTTACCCTTGATCATACAAACTCATACAACTCATTATTTTATTCCCATAACTCTAATCATATGCTGTATAGTAAGCACTGCTCTTAAGTGTTGGAAAGAGAAATACTAATTGGTTTATGTGCTACTTCTCAGAGGGAGGGAGGGAGAGACAGAAACAAAAAAAAGAAGAAATCAGACCCCGATCTTTCAAGTTGTGAGAAGTCTGTCAGCTAAAGGTAAACTTGCATTCTTAACATAAGCCTGGTTTGCTGTTCCCTCCTCTCCCCCCCGTCTCCCAAGGGTTTTAAATCAAATCCTAAAAACTGCAGTATGAATCTTAGAGGTTTGAAAATTAAGCAAAATAGCAAAGTCAGTGTAAAGCTGATAAAAGCAAAGTGCTGTTAAAACAAAGGCTGCAGAAAGCAGACAGTTATATTTTTCATGCCAGCCACCTTCAGTACTAGCAAAATTCAACAAAAGCAATTTGCAACAGGAGAAGCTGTTACTGCAGCTTTCCTGTTGTCCTTTTTTTTTTTTTTATAAGAGAGTGTAAATTCAGTGGGACTGATACTGATCAACTCATTACCTTGTAGAGGAGAAGCCTGAACTACAGTAAGGGAAGTTTTATAGGTGAAGGTGAAAAATATTAATTGGATTTTAAAGTAGTATGTGATCATTGATATAGCAAATAAAATAAAAATCTAATATAAATGAGTGTAGTACAGGTTACAGAATAATAAGATAACTCAGGTTATAAAGGACCTCACCAGCTCTCTAGTCCAACCTTCTGCTCATGAGGACAAAGGTTGTTCAGCACTTCATTCACTTTGTTCATGAAAACCTCCAGGGATGAAGACTACATGAAGTTGTCTTCTACTTGAAGTGTACTTCTACATGAAGTGTACTTCTACTCCTGGTTGCAGCTCAGGAAAAGTTTATCACCACCTTGCTGTGACTGACTGGCTTTTGTAAATATTCAGGCTATCGCATGTAACATCTGGCCTCGTAGGGTTCTGTGGCCTAACTTTCCTCTCAGCTGGAGGCACAAGGACAGGACAGTATGAGTAGGATGATTTCTTATGTTACTGCCAGATTCCAGGTACCTATTTTTTGTGCTTTTTTTTTTTTTTTGAGCACTGAACTCCTGATCAGGCAAAATACTAAATGATCAGTGCTAGAAATATGTAAGAGCAGTAGACAGGGACGTTTTATTGAGAGGTGGTGTTTCACTCATTCATTAATACCCTGAAGGAAAACATTATTACTCCTCAAGTCTGATACACATGAGAGTAATTTTTAAAAAATACTTATTTCTTCTGACCTTCTCGTATGTTGTGTCATCCCTGCTGTCACTATGACAGTTGCAGACTCCTGCACATTACACTAGCAGCTCCCCTCCATTTTGTGAATGAAGTGTTTTAAAAGGAAACATCAAGGACAACACTCATTTGTAATTTATTGTAGACACACTACTAAGGATTTGAATACCTTTTATTGTAAGCCTTATTACAGGTCCAACACAGCACTGTCACCGGAAAGCTTTTGACTTATCACAGTATACAGGACTGGCAGAACAAACAAACTTAGCTGCATCAGGGAGACTTATAGTTGGTGTTTCAGGCCTTGAATGGGAAAGTTGTTCAAATGTTCCAAGTTAGGCATTCAAACACCCTCTGCTGCAAAGGAAAGCAATAGGCACTTTTGCTTATATCAGATTGCAGAAATAGTCCTTAATTATATGGTCATCCAGAGACCTTGCCAGTTTTGATTCCATCTGTAGGCAGATATTCAAGTATTCTATTGTCTAAATGTCCCATGATGTGGATAAGAATTCATTGCTGAAATACAGTCAAGTGTTTTCAAGTCTGAATAATTAATTTGGAAACTTAGTTTACTTTGATTTCCGAAAAAGCTTCTATTAAGTTAATATTGCACCTATAAAATCGTCAGAGTTAATTATTCACTACTAGAAAACATGATTATTTTCAATTTTGCAAGTTGGGTACTAGGAATGTACAAAGAAGATCTTGATCACAAAAAATGCAAACTAATGAAGAATTGAATTCATCATCTAGCCTGGGAATTTAACATGCCAGACCAGCACGTTATATATAATACGTATACATCAATAGAAGCACATGCAAACTGATTCCTAAAACTCTGTTCAGTCTTCAGGCAATACTGTTTCCTATCAATTAACAAGTTGCTTATTTAGTAGGAGAACGAACTGCTGCTTTGAAAATAGAACGTAGAAACTAGCTACAGACTTGTTACCCATGTTGAAGAAACAATGATGAACTCATTGTTATGATTTATCCAAATGTTTGTGCTTCTTTTTCTATTAAAACTAACCAGATCTTAATGATTAGACATGATAATTTCAAATATATTTAAAATATTTAAAACACCAAAATGCTTGTGAGCTAAGGAAAATTTTTCTTTTTCATACAGTGACAGTAAAAACAAATGTCATGACTTCCTCAGAAAAAGAACAAGTCATTTGGAGAATCCGGTAAGCACTGAAAACTATGCATGAGTTTGTAAGATCTGGTGTAAATCACATGAAAACACGTTTACACTTTTTAATGTGTAAATCACATTAAAAAAAAAAGCTCATGCTACTTTCTCAAAAAAAAATAAGTAGCTGAAATTGCAACTTAGGTTTGAGTTGGGTAATACTTTTAAATATAAATTAAAATTTCTCCAATAGTGAAACTAAGCTGCAAAGAAGAAATTAATGATTTATACAATACCCTCCAACAAGTGTCGAATAATTAAGATAATTTTAAGCCACTGCTGTTTCTCTCATGAATTCCTCAAGGACAGTCACTACATTTCTGGCTTCCGGCATTTCTGCATGTTCTACTTTAACAATCTTCAAAAGAATGTCTCCACTGCCACAGTTCTTTAAAAACATGTAACACTTGAACAAGGCGTAGTGGTTCATTTCAGCCTGTCGAATAAACCTCTTCAGGTTGTTAATGTCTTGTATAGCCTGGAAAGACAGTTATCAAGAATTTTCTTATCCTTCTACATGGAAAGGAAATAATGTAGAAAAGTGCAGGAAAAATAGCAGTACTAACAAAACAATTCTATATTACTATTCAAGAGTAATACAAGAATTTAGTGAGTAATGTCATAGATGGGTATTACCACTATTACTCTAACAATGCAGAAGGTGTGGACATTATCGAGTTGCAGTATCAAGCATTTACCTCTTCTATTATGACGGGTCACTTAAGTTTAAAAAACTCAATGCATATTACCCAATTATACAATACTGTGTGTACAAAGCTCAAACTAACAGTATTTTGAGAAAAAAAAAAAAGTTATTTTAAATAGGAGAAAAGGCCATTGGAGTACTTGCTGAAGAAACTTTGATGCTGCTTTACATTCTAGTCTTGTCAACTACAGTAAGCCAGTTCTAAAACTAAACTTTAGAGGTAAGTAGTCAATGATGTACAGACATTGTAAGTAACCTAAAACTCTTCTGTGGTGCAAAAGCAATAACCTTGTCCCTCAATAACCCAATGTCTGTTCCAAGCCTTTAACAAATACAAACAGTTACCTTCAATTTAAAGTTTTCCAAAATCTGCCGGAAGAGAAATGGATTTCCACCTTCAGCACCGTTTACAAAAGCATGCATCCAGTCCTCACAAAATCTGTTGCTTCCTGTTGTGTGTTCAGGAACACAGAGATGAGCAAAAAGGAAATGGGCTCAACATAGACATATAACTGCATTCACATTGTTTAAGTGCTCTGTATGTCAAATGATAATAATATACCTGGGCCAGGAACTAAGACTTGAGAAAAACAGTACATGTAGAAAAGCAAACATAGATAGAGCTATGATATGATTTTTTTTTCTGATTGTTGAATTCACAACTTCCTTTTTTTTTCTGGTTGGATTTTTGACAATCATTTTGCAGCTTCCATGAAGTGTGAAAATCATAGTTTCATGGTCTGTAAACTACAACGGGTAAAAAAAATTCCTCTGCTACCTCACAGGTAAACAGGTGTTCTAGTTTCCAGACATAATCCAGACTTTCTGGGCATAAATCTGTGAGCTGCCGAATATCCTTAACTATTTCTAATGTCAAGGGTTCTCAGCAGCCGAGGGATAAAGGGGGATATAACAGCTGTAATCTCACCTGCATTATGCAGCTGAGGCTGGGGTCCACTACAGTCTATAATCATTGACTTGTGCTGTTCCTCAGTCATAGCAATGCACAAGGAGGTCATTGTGCCTTCCTGAACAAGTCCTTGGAGACTGGCAGCTGCCAGAAACCTGACAAAAAAAGCTCTTGTGAACTGCTTGTTTCTATAGTTTCAGATCAGCAAGAATAGGAAGGTGTCATACAAAAAAGCCAAGTTATTCACAGGTACCTTCATCTCGAAGTATCCTTACCTGTTAATGTCTTTTTCCGTTCTTTCATCTGCATTTTTTACTTCCACAGGAGTATAACTCAATGCCTTAAAATGAAGAAACAAAAGTTAAAAAGCGAGATGCAACTTGGAAATTACTTCCATTGCTACATTGTAGCTACTAGCAATAAATATTTAACCGTACTTTAAATTTACTGTTTTCAGAATAAGAATAGAAAGGAAATACTCCATATCATAATCATTGCAGCTGGCTTTGCATTCAGAAGAAATACAGTGGTTACACTTTATTAGCTATTCCATCCAAAATCTTCTTAAACTCATAGGCTAATGCTAGGATTAATTTTATTTTCTGTACCAGGGAATTACATGAAGCATACAGGCAATGTAACAGCCCTTCTGACTCATGGGGATTATAGCAAGGTCAGCTTGCTCATACTATGTCTAGTTTTTTCATTCTACTTATACCTTGGACACTACTAAGTGATCTAAAGTTAGTTAACTACAAAAATTACAGTTTATTGATTCTTGATGCAAAAAATTGCTAAGTATCCTTAGCAATAAAGCAGGAAGAAAGAACTTGTCCTGAACTTTAAAACAAACGGTGTTCCTTATTTACTCCTGTTTGAGAAAATAAACGTAAGAAATATTTTAAACACATCACAGTCACTGAGATGTCTTTTGAACCCTTTTTAGATACCCAGTTTGAAATACACTTACAGCATGTAACAAGAAGGCAAGTTTCTCCTGGAAGAGCTGTACTACTCTTTGAATAGGGCATATGGAATTCTCAAACCAGCTTCTCAAATAGGGGTTAACATAGGTCTCCAAGGTTTTTTGCTGTTAAAAGTTGAAACATCAAAGCTTTTAACTACGAAATAGATTTCTACACAAATAGAAGCCCGTTAATAATCTATCCAACATAAAATACTTGGATATCAAAACCTTTTTCATTTCAAACAATACTAGATTTAAATAATGAGTTTGACATTTAAAGCTACACCTTTTGGAATATAAGCTACAATAGTTTTCACATTTCAAGAAGTAGAAAAATCTGCAATATATTAGGAGTTCTACTGAGCAAACAGTATACACCAGCAGATAGGACGAAACAGTAACTTCAAACATATAGTTTCCATTAGAAGAATTGCGACAAGACCCATCAATAAGAATCCTTCCTTAATGTTAAGAAGTGGTAAGAATCTAGGTGGACGTGGATAACTTTCCTGTAGACCATTATATTTTATTAGTCAGTCTTCTCTCTCAAGTTAGCTGCAAGTAACCTTTGAGCAATTTATATGACTGGCACAAAAAAATCCTTTTTTTTCCCTTCTAAGCTGCGTGGCTGTCAGTATTTTAAACATTCACAATCTCTACAGTGGAACTAGTACTTATCTCTCCCAGAGTTTTGTCTCTATATAATTCTTCTGGATTGCTTGAGTAATAAATTTGTTTAAAAAGTCATATTCACTGCTTTAAAAAAAGAACTTACCTCCACATCAAGGTTTAGCTTCAGACTTTGAATGTATTTGTCCAGCTCAAGTCTGAAAGTATCTTCTTAAGGAAAGTAAGATACATCAGCTCAAATCTGTATTTTGCCCTTTCAGGATATGGTTGTTACTGACATTTTCAGTTATGCACTGGAACATATGCACAAATGGGCTCATTTCAAGCAGGAAATGGACAAGAAGAGAACATCGTTTTTACATCATTTCTCTCTTCACACAGATAAGGTAAGGATATAGTTCCAGACCTTTCTCTGAGCCACCCAGGAAACAAACCACATATTCTGCAGCATTTATGTCCGATTCCAGTATTGGTGTTTCTAGAAGATTTTGTTTCAAAAGACAGTAATAACAGCCAACTTTACATTCTGGTATGCTGTGCAGTAAAAAAAAAAAAAAAAGTTAAAGGTACATTACTTTAAATTAACGTGAAAGCTGGACATATGACTTCTATGAATAATTTTCACCCCCAGCACAGGTGGCTCCCATAGTCACATACAGAACTGTCTTAGACCTTCTCTTTTTTCATTCTATAGTACACTAAGAGTAGTTTAATAGGAAATAGTCGTAAATACAGGTAACAGTTTTTAAATACTGAAGCCATAAATTATTTACTATGAAAGTTTTCTCAAAGCTAACCAAAAAAAGAAAAAAGGTACCATTTGTGTACCGCTGTTATTAACAGCAGCAATAGACTGAGAACATGCAATTACAACTAAACCTAAGTGCTAAAGTAGATAGCAAGATGTGCAATGCTGTTGGTATTTCCTACAGCTTCTCATTCATAAATAATTTAAAAGTCGTGTTTTACCTCAAATCCACAGATGCTACATTCCCCATCCCTTCAAAAAGGGCTCCTTTAGTCAGACGCTTAGCAATGAAACTACGGAATTCAGTTTCTGCTTCAGTTGGTAAGTTTGTGTCCAGCAAGGTGAGACTTTAAAAAGCAAGATGAAATCATTAGCAAAAAGCAAATGTAACTGTTTTCATAGAATCATAGAATGTGGTTTTGTTTCTCTAAACAAGAGCAGATCTGCTTGCAGTCATCATCTGCTTCTAGAAGGGAGACCACTATGATCTCTCCCTGGCTTACAGATAACTTGCTCTGTGACTTCTGGCCCATTAGGAATGCGTTCAGTGGTTTGTCCACTAGACCAGAAGTCTGGAGTTGTGGTGTCAGCTGATGCTGAGCTCCTGAGCATCTATGACAAAGTCACTGACTGATCTTCTTCATTTCTATTTCCACAGTTGTAACAGAGCAACAAACATATTGCACAGCTTGTAGAATGATAACTTGTCAAACTAAAATTGGTTTCAATTTTTAGTTATCTGTTATCTGCATAAAGACACCAATATGGCAAAGACATCAAAATGGGATGTAACAGATGATTACACAGTTCTGCAGAGTGGCTTTACCTGAAATCCTCGCTGGAGGGTGTCTCTGCCGCTGCACTGCCGGGACTGCCATCCCCACTGTCTGCTCCCTGCCGTGAAGATCTTAAAATCAAGGAATTCTTATCAGCTTTATTTTTTTTTTCACAGCCACAACATACAGGCAGAACAGGCAGTGGGGAAATGTACTTCCTGGGGGCGTTTTAAAGCGGGAACAGGAAACGAGAATATTATCAGAGGGGGGAAAAAAAATAAAAAAATCTTGTGCAAGAGAAGCGAAAAAAAGCGAAATCGAGCAGCTGGCAACAGACGAGGCCTAGAAACGGCCTCCCCGCGGGGCGGACCCGGCCCCTCACCTGCGGCTCCGGTAGCCGTAGAGGCTGTGGTAGGTGCTGCCGTGCCGCTCCGGCCGCCGCTCCTCTCCGGTGCCGCCCTCCTCGCTGCTCTCCAGTTCCCGCTCGTCGCCGTCCGGCAGTGCCGGCAGCATCCCGAGCCCGAGCCCGAGCCTGATCCCGGCACCCGCCGCGCCTCAGCCGCCGCCGCTCCCCGCCCCTGAGGCCGGGCGGGGAAGGGGCGGGCGGCCCGCGGGGCTGCGCCTCAGCTCGTTGCGCCCGCCCCGTGAGGCGATGATGAGCCGGGACTGTTAGAGCAGGGCGGCTGGGGAGGAGCTGCCGCCCGCCGGGCGCTGCGGCTGCTGCGTTAGTGCCATTTATTGAGGAACACGAGGGGAACCATAAGGAACCCTGGGCCAGTAAACCTTCATCACAGCCCAAACCCCTACAATGAGCGGTTTAAGAGCGAGCAGCTTCTTGCCTGCTCTGCTTTAACAGAGAAAAACCCAAAGACCAAAAATTTATCGCTAACACCAAGCAGGGAAGCGCGAAACGCCCCCTCCGACCCCTCAGGCGAGGCTGAGACAAAATGGCGGCCGCACTGCCCCGTCACGGCCCCTTCCCTCTTCCCCCTCTTCCCCCCTTCCCCGCCGCGCGGCATGCCGGGACCGCCGGGCTGCGGCGGGCACAGCCTGCGCGCGTCACGTGGGCCGTCCCCTCCCTCCCGCCTCGCCGCGGTGCACGCTGGGAGCGCGGCGGCAGCGCCAGGAGGGAGCGTGGCGGCCATTTTGTGCCTGCCTCGCTCGCCTCCGGGAAGGGGCCGGTGCGGGCTCGGCGGGGAGGGAGGGAAGGAGGGAAGAAGGAGTTCGGCTGTTTGCTTTTCTGCCTAGGTCGCGGGCGCCGTCGCCATGGGCCGTAAAAAGAAGAAGCAGCTGAAGCCTTGGTGCTGGTATCCTTCTGTGCGTGAGGGGAAGGGGGGGGGGGTGCGGCCCGGCCCCGCCGAGCTCCGCGCTGCCTCAGGACGGGGCTCGCCCCTCGGCCACCGGTCCCGTCACGGCTCGGTTCGCGTTTGCTCCCTTTGCTTTTCTGCGCCGCTCGGTGCCGGTGTGGGGTTTGCTCCGTGCCCTTTCCCAGCGTCTCCTTTCCTCGCCCCCCCCCCCCTTCCCCTCCCCCCCCCCGCGGCCTTACCCGCCCGCCTCGCGTCAGGGCCGCGCCGCCAGGCCGCTGCTGCCCGGGGAACGGGGGGGGCGCTCCTTGGGCCTCGGGCGCTAGCGGAGGGAAATCCTGCCGGATAAATAAATACTCAAAAAGCGAGGCAGGCCTGGTTAAAAGAGACCTTTTGAGAGCTAATTGTAGAATTCCAAATTTGTAATCGCTGCGTCAAAATCTCATACAATTTCTCAGTATATAGAAATATTGGTCGGTTTTCCTCAAATCGGTCTCTTATAATCTGTTTTTTAAAGTGCTATTGCAGGATTGCTTTTTCTCTCACGTTTTTGCCTAATCTGAAACCGTATAATAAAGGAGTTTATAAGCTACTTTGAAATCATTTACCGGTTTATGTTGGATGGCATCTAAGCTTCTATTTCAGGCACTAATAGGTCTTAAGTTTTGCTGAAAGTGGGGAGCGCGTTGTGTTAGCAAGGACACGCTAGTAACAAATGTGTCTGTCTTGCTTAGCAAGATGTCTGGAGTATTCACTGGAACGTTAATGCTGATCTGCAGAAAAGAAACAGCAGTTTGTCTTTTCTGTCACCCAGAAGTCTAGAAAATTCTTCCTTAAAATGTTTCAGTTTAAAAACAAATTTCTTTAATGACTGATCGATTAATATTTAATCACGTGATATCATAAGATTCAAGGTAGCTGGATGACTGAAAGAAAAATAAAATTAAAACTGTTCTTTACTCTGTTATAAATGTTTGTTACTGTTGCATTTTATTAAACAGGACCTTTTGCTGAGTATTTAGCTTTGCTTCCCTTTTGTGGATTTCCCATTTGTTTCTCCTTTACTGCATTAGCAACTTGTAAAAATCTGAAAGTATGCAAAGAGAGGAAGGAGTCTGCTTAGAAATAACTAGGGCTTTTGAAACTCATCTTGAAATCCATCAAATAATATGGATTCAAATTATGACTGTGGTCGCATGTACACATCTTGCCAGTTTTCCAACGCATGTAACTTATCTGAAGAGGGAAACAATGGGTGGTGCAAGGAGGGAGGTTTGGTTTCAGACATCCATGCAATACTTGTTCTGATATGAAAGCTCAGAGGTACTTTCTCTGCTTTTTTTTCCTTTAGAAAAAAAATATAGTAACACTAATGCTAGTTAGCCTAGTGTTACATAGAAACTCACTTTCAGAATTAAATACTTCCTTAACGATCTTCAATAGGTATTGTAACAGAGATTTTGATGATGAAAAGATCCTTATACAGCATCAGAAAGCAAAGCACTTTAAATGCCATATATGTCATAAGAAATTGTATACGGGACCTGGTTTAGCTATACACTGCATGCAGGTAAGAAGTTTTAGACTTAGAGAAAACTTTCCTTGACAGTATTTAAAATTGGAATTAATAAACTTAAATTAATAAACTTACAAATGTGTTCTTTGGGGGCTTCCACAATCATGAAAACTGATGAGGGAAAGATGGTAGTGCTCTGTTTCAAGGACAGGGCTCTTGCTGTGTCAGCAGTTCTGTGGTGAGTATGTTGCAGAGACCTTTGCAGTCACTTTGAAGATGTAGGAGTGAAGGAGTTGCGTTGTATTGGTGTTCAGAAGAAAAGTCTATAAACTAGTTTTAGGATTTAATGGTAGCAACAGTGATGGCTACCGTGTATCAAGAAAATGGTTGGCTAGAGAGACTCTTGCTTTTAAGGATGTTGCTTTTGTATTTTGATGGTAAATTGGTGGAATAATTTAGAATGTAACCTGAGTTGTGGTCAGGAGGACTTTTTTTTTCTTTTTTTTTCTCTTTAGGTACATAAAGAAACAATAGATGCTGTTCCAAATGCTATTCCTGGAAGAACAGACATTGAACTGGAAATTTATGGCATGGAGGGCATTCCAGAAAAAGATATGGAGGAACGGAGAAGGTTACTTGAACAAAAAACTCAGGGTAAAGTATAATCTAGCTAGGTATCTGTAATTTTTTAGCACATTTCTTAAAATAAATTTACTTCAGAATGTATTCTTTGAGTCTGCTATCCTGGTTGACCAATATATGTTAACTGTACAGGAGGTAGTATTACTTTGTCTTGAAATATCAGTCAGATGTCACAATATTGTAACAAAAATGCATAATATTTGCCTCTCAATTCATTATTTGTAGGCTTTGCATACAAAACTGTTTTTGGTGGTTTGAAGTGGGGTTTTCTGCTTTTTTTTTTTGGTCTTCTTTGTTGTGGTGGGTTTTTTTGTTTTTTTTTTTTTTTAGATGTTCAGAACTGGTTCATTAAGCGTTATCCCTGTGAGAAGATTTCCTGTGTCTGTCTTACTCATACTAAGCTGTGTGAAACAGCTCTCACTCCTTGGAAAAGGGCTGGGTTAATACATCTCTAACTGCAGCTTCTGTCTTCCTACATGGCAGGCAAATGTTAAGCAATACGTTGTTTTCTTTTCCTGTTTAGAAATAAAACTATTACCCAGTGAATATGGGGATGGTGATTTTTTTATTATTTTTTTTTCACTTTTTTGGAGGAAAGGCTAGGAATCATACTAGTCTTATGATACAGGAATACTTCAACTTCTTTGCTCTTTAAGTATGCTTTTCCTTTGAGTTGTTCTGGCTTATTCTGAGCATGCAGAGACTGACATGAAGGAAGACCCCCATTATGTTGAGGTTTGTTACAGTGCAGTCACTTTCCTTTTTTATTTGTACGGATGATAGTAGGCTCACTTAGCTTTACTTCTTTGTAATTCTGTGAGTTTTTGAACATGATAAGCTATGAAATTACTTTTGTTCCAAATAGTATATTCCAGATAAAAATTAATTTGTTTTCAATCTGACCATATGCATTGTATTATTTAGCAGAAAGCCAGAAAAAGAAACAACAAGATGATTCTGATGAGTATGAAGATGATGAATCTGCAGCTTCAACTTCATTTCAACCCCAGCAAGTTCAGCCACAGCAGGGGTACATTCCCCCAATGGCACAACCAGGTTTGCCTCCTGTGCCAGGTGCACCAGGGATGCCTCCAGGTAAGGATAGTATTTTGGAGCTAGGTACTGAAAAGTTGACTAAGAATACAAATCACTGCTGGAATAATCTGTTCCTTCCAAGTTTAGGGTTAAAGGTATTAAAATAGTTTTGTAAGGTACACATCAGTGGTTTCTTCAGGTTCACACACCACCCTTCCACAGTGGGTAGGTGCACACGTTCTCCTTTGTGAACATTTCTTACGCTAGCATCTAGACTGAAGGTGTAATATATGTAATATATTTGTTACTAAGACAGATCAGTAATTTAAACACAAATCCACAGGTCACATCTGTTTGTGATACTTTGTAATAAGATTTCAGGAATACAGAGCAGGAAGGCTACTGTGTATTTAGCGTTTGCTAAATTACAACAGGCAATTTATACACAGGTTACAAATACATTGCAGAAAAAATTTTGATTAATGACATTGCAAACTGGCCTTTTCTGATCTTTTCCGCAATGACGAGGCCTGTTCTTTGGAGACTCTACTCAGAATGCTTACACTTGGTGTCTTGCAGGACTGGGAACAACAAATCATGCAGATTTGCAGATACTCTTTTATATTGCATCATTTGTAAGCAGTGTTAATTCAAAAAATAATCTTCTACATCTTCCTGTAAAACATTTATTCAGTCTAAATTAATTATATTAGATTTGTGTGAGACCGTATGTTGTTGGAGTTGTATAAAACGTGTTTTTCTTTTGTTAAGGTATACCACCATTAATGGCAGGTGTTCCACCAATGATGCCTGGCATGCCTCCAGTGATGCCTGGAATGCCACCTGGGTGAGTAGCTAGATAGATTTAATACTACATTTTCATACTGTGCATTTTAAACTGTCACAGAAACTGTAAAGCTAAATAGAAAAACATATGTAGGAACCTGTGAACTCTGTGACTTTAATATTAGGATGCACCGAAAATCTAGGTGGCTATAAACCAACATTAAAAGTATAGTTGAAGTATGACTTTATATATAAGTATGTTGCCTCTTTCCTAATTTTAGTAATGTTATAACAATTTTAAATTTTGTTTTGTTGGTTTAAAGCCTTCTGGGAACCACTGCTTTGTGTATTGCAGAAATGTGCATCTGGCTATCGGTCATGCAACCTATTGGGGAAATATATAGTGAATAGTTTTAATTTCTTCTTTAAATATGAGAATAAAAATTTTATTTTGGGCGAGAGTAAGATGTTGGTTTTTATGTTTGTTTGGGATTTACACAGTACCCTATCATAATGTGTTTGGAAAATCATAGTTAGATTTTTGATTTTTTCATAAATTTTCACAGATTACATCAACAAAGAAAATACATGCAGTCATTTTGTGGTGGAAACATGTAAGCATCTCATTAACGTAATTATAGGTACATTCATTATGCCATTTTATGTCATTTATTTGATAAGATTGAAACTGTCTTACTGAAAACCTCTGAATATTGCTGAGACTTTGGGAATAATGTCTAATTAGGTTTTGTTGTTGTATAATAAAAAAATAACTTTACTCGTTGATATGGTTACTACAAAGCTACGTGTTGTGAGAAATGCATTCTACAGATATTAATAAAATAGACCCTTTGGGATTTATATATATATATATATATATTTTTGGCACCAGAATATGTACAGCTCTGTGTTTAGTCCTTTACCCTGTAGGACTTGCTGCAGGAGCTTTGTGCTTGAGTTTTAAAGTTCACTAAGGTGAGAGGTTGTTCTCTTCTGAAACACAAGTGTTGTTTTAACTCTTTGAATTTAAAAATCATATCTTAAACATCTTATGGATGTTCGTGACTGTAAATCTTCTGTTGGAAACTGAACAGAATTTTATCAAGCTTGTGGGTGTTTAGTCCTCCTTAAACTTTGTTAACTTTAGGTGACTGTAATGTTACCTAGTAAAACATGCAAATGAACCTGTCAAAAAAAAAAAGTGTAAACTCACTGAATGTTATGTTATGCTTTTACCTGGTTAAATGTAAGCTTTTGCTAAATTAACCTGATGACTTTTTGTTTAGAAATGAGGAAAGGAACTGGGTCCTGGGGAGCAGCTTATTTTTTAGCATGACACTAGTTCTAGCCCTGTCCCTGCAGTTTTCCAGAAAGTCATCTTCCTTGTGGCAGCAGGAAGCAAGTGTCCAGCAGTTTCTTTTCTTTTTTTTTTTTAAACAGTTATCAAAATGGATGGCAAGACTGACTTTGTTTTCTCCAACTATGAATACAGAAAAAGGGATGATAATAATGATAATGTTCCCAGTCATTAGTGCATCTGATTGCTTGTTCCCAGTAGTTGACAAGTTGAGATTAATAAGGCTGGGTAGCAAGCTGCTTTGCAGAGTTCACCTGTTTACCATGATTCACTTGATTTTGAAATGGCAACAGTAAATGTTTCTAGACTGTTACATAAAATAGAAACTGCTTAATTGTTTTGATCTAGTACTCAATTGAATGCTGCATATCTGTTTAGTTTGCTATATCTAGCAAACATAAGTAATAGGCATTCCTTTATTTTGTTTCCTGTAATCCAGCTTCGAGTGTCTGGAAAAATGAAGCCAAACTTAAACTACACTTGGTTTGGTTCCTGCAAAGGAATTCTTTGTATATAGTTTTCCAATTTAAAAGCACTTAGTGTCATTGTCAATTTTTTTAAATGGAGTTACCACCCTATGTAGGAGTAGTTTGCTTATATTAAGGGTTGTGTGTGTAGTTTAGAGGAGGAATACACAATTTGCAGTGTGGCTTGGTAGATAAGGATAAAAAGAATCATTTAGATTTAAATTCCACCTTTGTGTTAGGAAATACACTCTTATTTTGGCCTGGAAAAAAAAACACTCCTGTTTTTAATGTGAAAGAAAAATAATAATGATTCCTCATTTAAAAATAAAAATAAAAATCTATCCTAAGTGTAGGAAATACTTAGTGTAATTAAATGTCCATAAGTCATGTTATCTCCTAGTCTCTGTTTTTATCAGTGTTTTGTGCCTAACTTTACAGAGTTGGGTTCTGCCACTCGCTAGGGGAAGTCAAAATAGTACGAGGGTGCCTAAATCACAAATAGACTTGTGGTGTCACAAAGGTATAATACCAGAAGTGCAGCAATTTTAGTGTGATTGCAGTTGCTGTTTTTCCTGCGTGCAAATTTTCTGAGTGTATTACTATCAGGTTCTTAGAACACAATACCAAAACTAATATCCTGAAATGCATACCAAGGTGGATTCCAGTTCTGGAATCTGATAACAGAGGAAGTGAAAACATGGGGTGTTAAAGTTCGAATGAAAACTGTTCGGAGGTTTCTGTGTCTTCTTTTTTCTTGTTGAAAAACATGTCTATCTAGTCTGCTGTTTTTGAATTGCCTCTTTAAATTATTTTTGTATTTAATCTAATACAGGTATGTGCCAGTTGTTTTAACAGTTCATCATGGATGTTCTTATCAATGCTTGCTTTTTGTTCAATAGGATGATGCCAATGGGTGGAATGATGCCTCCTGGGCCAGGAATACCACCTCTTATGCCTGGTATGCCACCAGGTAGGTCAGGGCTGTCAGATGCATACTGTGTTGAGAGCTAAACCTTATTTCTGCTGTAAGTTAGGATTTCTATAAAGACTATCCATATGTATGCTACTGCCTTGATGCAGAAGCCACTCTTGTGCAAAGGTGAAGTGATTATTTTGCGGCTTTTGACTACAAATAAGTGGTTGGGTTTGGTACTGTTGTGAAAGTAAAAAATGGAATGTAATTTTATTCTTAGTGCTGTTTCCCTGTTTTTCATGTTGCCTAGTCTCTCTTCATTCTGCTGTTTTAATGTCTGTGGCTGCAGCTGGAAAACTATAATTAAAATTGTTTTTAAAAAATGTTGTGGGAAGTGAGAAATAGTCTTAATGTTATACCCCTGTAAAGAAACTAACTGGAATTTTGATCATACCATAGCTAGAGCAAACCTTTTGAACTTCTGTAGCTCTTAAACAGCCTTATGTTCAGAGGGTGGTGGTTTGAATTTTGCTGGTTTGCCCAGATGTCTCACTGGAGGAGGAAGCAAGCCAATTGGACAGCTACAGCCTGGTTCTGCTGCACAGTAATGTGTAGGAACCTACATGAGCAGTTAACTCCCTGTCTCTGAGCCTCTCCTAGAGCAGTATAGGCAGAGTATGGTAAAAACAGAGCTAATTGCCTTGATTTATTGAGAGCATAAGTATCTTCTATCATTGAAATTGTAGTAGAAAATAGGACTTAATTCAGTATTGCTCTTAAGTGTTTGAGGTACTGCCTATACATGGACGGTTATTGGTGTTTAGGTGTAAATTAAGGTAAAACTTTGTTTAAATGTTTGGGGGAGGGAGGAGGGAAGTTGATAGTCTTAACATGGCTAGTGACCTCTGCCTTTTGCACTTGCTGTATATAGTGACTGGCTGTTGGCATTACACTTTGTTACTCTTTCTTTTACTATTGCCTTAAAAATATATCTTCCTTAGAGAAGCATTGATTATAAAGAACACTGGCAACAGAATACTCTGAAGGAACGCTCCTCCTTCCTTGATCGTGAGTCATTACAGATTCTTTGTGGTCTGTAGGTATGCCGCCACCTGTTGGCCCTCGTCCTGGGATGCCTCCGATGACACAAGCACAGCCTGTTACAGCACCAGGCATCCTTAACAGACCTCCAGCTCCTGCTGCGTCAGCACCTACCCCTCAGCCTCCAGTTACTAAACCACTCTTCCCGAGTGCAGGGCAGGTACGGTATCTCATAGCCTGGAATCTGTTGCTGTAATCTTCAAATTACCACTGTGTCAACAGTGAGGAGGCCTGAGAAATAACTGATTACGTTTCTTGCTTGTGTTGATTTTTAATTCAGTTTAGTGTTTGAATGAATTTTAAAAGATTCTTTTGTTTGTCTTACAACAGCCACGAAACCAGACTGAAGTTCTGTAAGCAGTGGGGAAGAAAGGAGTAGGCAAAACACTGTTTGTTAACCCCTTCAGTTGTCATTATAAGGGTGCTTTGGGTGGGTGAAGGGAGGTGTTAGTCAGCTACAGGAATCTGCTTGCATAGAACTTACCCTAACATTTCCAAAGTGGAAATCTTGACATGACTTGTTCTTCCTCGTTCTTTTCATAACGGGCTTTTTACCAATAGGACTAATTCATTCTGTAGTTTTGTTCAAACTGGGTTAAACATTGTCTGAATGAGGTCTTTTGCTTTACAAAGTTTGAGTTAACTAAGGCGGTAAAACTTGGTTTAAATGTTTTGGGGAGGGAAATGGGAATTAATAATCTTAAAATGGCTTGTGACCTATGTTTTGATTTTACTTGCTGTGTATAAGTTTTTACTTGCTTTTGAGTATGTTGCAGAAAACTTGATAGTGTCCTATTTGCATTTTAGACTTCTACAGGGAAGATACTCATTTACAAAAGCACAGCCCCTAGCATAAGAAATCCTTTCATCTGGATACTTTCCACCCATTTGTTTGGAGACTTTTCACTGTTTCCTTTCTTTTATGCTACAGATGGGGACACCTGTCACAAGCTCAAGTACAGCTTCCTCCAATTCAGAAAGTCTGTCAGCATCTTCTAACGCTCTGTTTCCTAGCACAGCACAAGTACGCAGGAAGTCACAGATAAAACCAAATTGCTTTGCAACTTAACCCTTTGGACCATTCTGTAAAATCTAAAATTGACTAAACATCTTCAGATAATTTGTTGTATTCCTGATTATGTTTAGCTGGTAAAACTGCAGAGTCCTTGATTTTTAGTTGCATTTTACTAGAAATAAGCATGTCAAAGTGCCCAATTTTTCTTAGAGTGAAAAAAATGAAATGTTGTGTCCTGGTTCTAAAGGGTTAAAAAAGCATGAAAGCAGTTAAATGCATTTTAGTGGGCAGTGGTTAGCTTGATGCATGGTGAAGGCTTTTTAGTTCGATGTTTAATATGGTACATCGTAATGTAGGGAATTTTGTGATTTGCCTTATGTGCAAAAAATGGAAATACTTTTAAGGAAAGTTCAGCAAAGAATTCGTAGAATAACTGTAAACAAAAGCATTCTCTCATAACTAAAGCTTGCTTTGAAGATTGGTGCATCTTCAGAGAAAGCCTCAGAAAGCCAACTTTTCTTGTTTAAGAATTTTAATTTAAGAACAAAGTAGGAAAGATGAGATGCTGGCATCTGTAGTGATCTGACCTCATCTACCTTCAGTTGATTCTTCACTCAGAAATGGTACTAAAGGTCTGTAGAGAGATACAGTACTTCAAAAACAAACAAACAAAAAAACCCAGTAATATTTCTGGAGAGAATGCTTAAAACAAAAGACACAATAGAGTTTTCTTAAATGTTTCATAAAAACATTTTAAATACCTAATTTTAATAAATGCTAACACTGAGCTGTGCTCTAAACTAATGGTTGCTAAAGTTTGCTAATAATTTAGTGAGACAATTTATACTTATAGGCTGTTAATAAATCTGTGATTTATGAAGGATTTAGACATTTTACCAAACTCAGTATTTGAGGTAAAAAATTCTGATAGGATTTTTTGTTGTTGTTGTTGTTCCTTTTTTCTAGTTGTGGCTTTTGACCTGCAAATTTTAGATTTTCCTGTGTGTGTGTGTATATATATGTATGTACATACTGGGTTTTATTTTGTCTTGTTTTCAGTTGCTTTAGTATGTGATAAGGCTGAAGTTTACTTTTGTCAAGCTTATTTTAATTATGTATCTCACTGGAAGGTTTCAGAGGTCTAGCAGACATCATTTAAGTTTTCTTATGCTTTAAGAAGTAAATATTGATCTATCTCTGTGTTTCACAGGCTGCAGCAGCTGTTCCAGGTCCAGTTGGTACTGATTTCAAACCTTTGAATTCTACACCTGCAACAACAACAGAACCCCCCAAGCCTACATTCCCTGCTTACACACAGTCTACAGCTTCAACCACTAGCACGACAAACAGTACTGCAGCTAAGCCAGCTACATCAATAACAAGTAAGCCTGCTACCCTTACAACAACCAGTGCAACCAGTAAGTTGATCCATCCAGATGAGGATATATCGCTGGTAAGTTTAATATTTTCACTGCCTTACAGAAAATGCAGTTTATGCTGATATGACTGACTTAAGTAGAATTTTTTCTGTGTTCTGTATAACAATATTTCAATAATGGTGAGATTGCAAAACTTGTAGAATTAATATAACAGAACCACATGCTGAGAAAATGTCCTTGGTTGAGAAGTGATGATTGCCATCCTGCAATAATCCTGTTTTAGATCTAAGTCTTACCTTTCTGGTGGTAGGGAATTGCTCAACTGAAAATATGATTTGGAGTTTATTTCTGTTTGTGATTTAAGCTTGAAGTTAAATAGATGCAGCTAATGAGTGTAAGATGAAGGACTTAACAGTTTGAAGTTGTCTTGGTGCTATTACAGCAATCATAAATCAGGAATTGATGGATAAAACAAACCTTAATTTCAGTTCATTTATCTCTAGACCTGCATTTGTTGTTTTGCCTCATCTTGTTGTGAGGAAAAAGCTTTCTTCAGCTGAGGGAGGAGGAGAACTTGTATTGTGTGCAAAATACTGAATTAGCCACTATTAATACAGTAACTTTGGCAGGAGGGGGGGAAAAATCCAAAGGTTTAATGGCAGCAACCTAGAATTTCTGAGATATTGATAGTTCAGTACCTGTAATCCACTTTTGCTACATTTATTTACTTTGCCTTTGCTGAGTTTGTCTTACAGCATGCTATGGTTGTCTATTCCTGGTTTTAGGAAGAGAGAAGGGCACAGTTGCCTAAATATCAGCGTAATCTTCCTCGGCCAGGACAAGCTTCCTTGGGCAATCCACCAGTTGGACCAATTGGAGGTATGATGCCACCACAGCCAGGAATTCCTCCACAGCAACAAGGGATGAGACCTCCCATGCCACCTCATGGTAATCATAAGTTTCCTAGTTTTCTTTTCTCTAAAAGACTTGTATTTGCTGTAACTTCTCTAAAACTTGAAGTGGCAAGTACTGTGAAAAACAGCTTTTCACAAAATGCAGCTTTGCCCGTCTGAAAAATGAATACTTCTTTGCATCTTAAATATTTTGTTTATAGGTCAGTATGGTGCTCATCACCAGGGCATGCCAGGATATCTTCCTGGGGCGATGCCTCCTTATGGTCAGGGACCTCCGATGGTGCCCCCCTACCAAAGTGGACCTCCTCGTCCTCCAATGGGAATGAGACCTCCTGTAATGTCGCAAGGTGGCCGCTACTGATGCTACTACACACGCTCTAATAGGTTTGGAGATTAAACCTTTTCTCATCTTGTGCTGTTAATATAGCCAAGCTTCCGTCAATTAAGGCTTCATTGTGACTTTTAAAAAAAAATAAGTATCTTCCCCACATGCAAGGAACTATTGGACATTCTTATTTTACATGGGAAAATTTATTTGGAATAATAACAGGAACTTTTCCTGATGTTGCAATTTATACTGTATGGCTTCTTTTTCATGTTTCATCTAGGTTTTTAGAAGTGAAGTATAGTAAATATGGTTCGTTAAATTGTGAAGGCGCTGGAATTACATGAACATACCACCTTAAAGGCAAGTTCTGTAACATTATGTTGCTATTTGTGAAATAAGGCCTTCACAGCACTTCAAGTGCTGTTGGACTTTGTGTCCCCAACATAGTTTGGTGAGGGCTGTAACTGTTCGCAACTACTTGTACATTTAAGTCTGAACATGTAACAATATTTAATGTATTTAGAGTTCCTCCTGTTCCAGGGTTTAAGTAAACTGACCCACTAAGGTCGTGTGACTTTTCTGTACTGTTATAAACTTCATTGTAATAAAAGAAGAGAAAAATTTATATGCCTTTTCATTCATGACCAGCTGTGGACCACTGCCTGAAAGGTTTGTACAGATGCATGCCACGGTAGCTATTGATGTAATGAACACAGTTACTGGTGCTTTTCTGATAATGTCTCAATTCCTTATTTTAAAGCTTAAGTTGTTCCTTAGCTGCACGTCTGAGTAGACAAGACCTGTACACTTATTAACTGACGCTTCAAAAATGAGGCTGCAGGAGGCACATCTTAACTCTTGGTTGTAATTTCTCATGATGGCATATGTTTCTTATTTGTGCTTTCTTGTCCTCAATGAATTTTAAACGATTTCTAGTCCTGGCAATTATTTGTAGGATATAAAAGTGATTGCTGCAAGATGCATGCTAGTGCGAGATGTTTCCTGTTAGTTCATTCTTCGACCGACTCTTTTTAATATGCAAAAGCACATGAACTTCAGGAGCCTTTTAGATGAAGATTTCTAGAAGCTTAGGTGCATGTCACATGGGTGAGTGACTCCCAGTTGATGTTGTATTTAAGTTGACCTGCAAACAAGAAAAAGAAACTTGACTTTCTTCTTCTCAATGTGCAAAAGAAACTAAGGGGAAGAGAGTAATATATGTTGCATGCTGTATTTCTATTTTTAGAATATTCAGAACTTCAAATCTCATCATCCTATAGGATGAACCCTCTATGTGCTGTGATCAAGCTGTAGGTTTGGTTCAGGCCAAGTTTTCTGAGCCAGTTAATGAAAGTGTCTAGAGTAGGAGATGTTTCCATCAGTTCTCCTACCTACAGCTATCAAAGAGAAGTCTTACCCACACAGGTTAGTTACCTGCTTCTGAGTAAAAGCATAGATGACCATCAAGACTGTAATTCTCTGAATGTCTAACATTGCTGTGTTAGTGTGTTGTATTTCCAGTGAGAATTAAAATGCAGAGGGGAAGACATTTTGGAGGGAACAGAAGCTAGAGCTTTCCTTGTCTTTCCACTCCTTTTTTCCACCTGTTGTGATGATTTTTTCATTTGCAGGTCAACTTTAAATACATGTTCCAGCCTCAAGCCTTATTTGTGCAACTTAGGTTATGGAGATGTCTCCTTTTTTAGGGTAGGCTAGAAAGATTTTCAGTATTTAAGATCCATATGTGTTTTTGTTGATGGTGGATTTTTTTACCTAGTTATTATAATGAGTATTATAATTCTTTCATCTGAAAGTCTTGTGGGTATATTTTTAGCTTAACTTGAAGTACTTCATGTGGCTTTATTCCATATTCTCTTAGCTGCTCAGAAATACGGATCAGCTAAAATACTACATTGTCTCAACTTCAAACTTGGGGTCATGGAATACCTCACAAAGGCACTGGAGCATTCAGTACATTCTAATTCCAGCTGAATGGCCTTAGTTTAGCTTAACCATTAAGAGTGGTCAGGCACTTTTTCTGAAATGGTTAGCAGTTTTAAGACCATAACTCCAAGCCTCTGTTGAGAAGCAGTTTTCTCTGGTCACTGGTATCTGCTGGTCACCTGTCAGATGTGCACTATTTGGCTTGCAAATGTGCTGAGTGGGCCTTGATGTCAGATGTTTTGTTAGCTCTTCATCTTGCTTTATACAAAAATCTAACGGATAAAACTGTTTTGCTTAGGCAATGCTCTTACTCTGGTTTTCTTCCATTTTTCTTTATCTAATAAGGATAATTCCAAAACAAAGCACTGGAGAGATTTTTAGTGTCTTGCATTTAATGTTTTTTTGTAATGTTATGCATAAAATTCATACATTATAAATTGATCTTAACTTCTGCATTTAGAACTCTGAAACGTCTTGCTTTTTCTGAAGATCATATTGCTGCTGTAAGGATGCTTGTCCTTCCTGCCCCTAGTAAAGCAAATACTTTCTCCCTTTGGTGTCTTTCTGTAACTCATTGGTACGTTGTTTTCAGAACCCTACATTTCCTAGGGAAGTACTTGAAAACCTTACTGCATGTACTGTTAACTCAGCATATTCTGCAAGTTGTCTTTAAGGGTTTCCCCTATTAGATAGTAAACGTGATTGTTCCAATAATAGCATCATTTTGTAGCTAATACTATGCAGACTTACAGTGCAGACACATTTTAAATTGAGTTTTCCTTAGTAATAACATTGTTACAATCCTTAACTAAGCACTGCCACGTGTTACTTGTATGGTACTCTAATAATGTGCAACAAGCAGGTGAACAGTTTTTCTGTGTTTTTTCACGTGGATACTGCCTTTCCTGCTCCTGTCATTTCTGTGCTATAAGAGCTGCGATGTGGCTATCTCTAGTTACTCTTGTGTCTCTTGTACGTACTCTTCTCCTGAAAACAGGCAGGTATTTCAGTGCATATGTTGTCTGTTGGTCCCTGCCTTCATTTCTTTGGATACTGCTTCTTAATTTTCAGAGAGTTGGATTTATGGTGTGCTTCCCAAAAAAGGGTAAAACTCTTTTGAATGTATTAATTGCTTGTATGAAGATGAAGGCTTGGTTTACAGTACAAAGTTTAGTCAACATAGTTGTGCCAGCAAAATTCCTAATGCCATGCAGACTTTTTTTTTTTTTTTTTGCTTTAGTTCATCGTTCCCTGGAAAGAGGTTGCAGAAGGCTTTATGAGTACAGCAAAACATATGTTCTATATCTGTTACAGGACTGTGATGATATAATCACATGGGCAGAAGCTTTAATTTCAGTTATTGCCTGAATTTCCTGTGGCAGATCTCATGGTGAAAGGAGAAGTTGTAAATGGTTTTTGATTAGCTTTTGTTTAAATTTGAATGTAATACCAGTGTTGAATACAAAAAAAATCAAACAAAACAGGCTGCAAGAAACTGTTCAGACACAGGTGGGGGAAAAATGCTTATGCAAGATATTTAGATGTCATCTGGGACTTGTATAGGAAGTTCTAAGTTATTTCATGCATAGTGTCTCAATATCATTATGAGGCTGATCTTGTGTATTTGCTAATTTTTAGAGTTAAAGGGATAAAATTGGCATGAAGGTACCTCAGAAGAGCCCACGCTAGTTTTTCAGACATGTTGATGTGACTGTTTTGTTCTTTTAGGATATCTCTCTACGTTTTGCAAAGTCTGTTTTAAATAAAATTTTGAAAATATATCTGGTTTATATGGACAAAAGTTTTTTTCTAAAATGTTTGGAGCTTTTTTTCCTTCCACAGATGAGATTTTTAGGTATGGATAATAAATTTGAGGCTGGGATGTATATCAGATGATTTCAGTGGATTACTATTCCTCTCTCTGTGCATGCATGGGAGAACATAAACAAGCTTCTAGAAACATATTCAGCTGCATCTGCCTTCTATAGTTTCTGCAGTTACTTCGGTGTATGGATGTCTTGAACGATACACAGAATTGTATAACTTGCTTTCCTAAAACGAGATGAAAGTGTATGGGATATAACCTGGAGTTATTTTACAATAACAAATAATTCCGCATACAAGACAAAAATGAAATACCAAGATTACTTCAGTTTCAAAAACAGTAAGAAGGTCATTATGACTCTTCAGTTAAATTAAGACTGATATGCCAGTCCATGAGCTGGGGCTGCAATTTAAAATGGTAATTAATGTCATTTTAAAATAGTAAATGTCTTAATAATTGTACCGGTCTGGCTTCTACATAAAGATTAAGGTGAGGGTCAACACCTTCAGTGGCTGATGAAATCTTTAACTCAACTTTTTGTGAATTAGAACAGTAACTACTATTGGGTATGGAAAAAAATGCCCCGGAACAATTGAGGTATGTTCCACTGATCAAGTTACAAAGCAAAATAAACTGTGCAATTCAGAATTAGCTGCGAACTACAAAAAAGTTCTGTTTTGGTCTAACAAAGTAGGTGATATAGCAGTCATTTCTTTTTGTTTGCTTGATCACTGGAATTTTGTTAACTTTGAATGCATGTCTTTCACTTAATTGGGTCATGTTTTTTCTAAAACTTAAATTTTTCTTCTTCCTATAGCCCTGCCATAGGACAGGCTGAGGCAGAGTCTCAGTGTTGCCCTGTTCAGTCTGAGGCAAGTGGGATTTATTTTATTCCTTCCAGGGGCTTTCACAGCTTTATGGCTGTTGGATATTTATGTCCCCAAACTTGCAGCAAGTTTGGTGAAGGCCCCTAAATTTATTTTAATTTAGGTTTTTTATTCTTTTGGTAGATGGGCTCTATATTAATATTTATCCTTTTATTATCACTGTGTTTTTAAGAGTCTTAAGGGGAGGGAATGTGTTATGAGATGTTTGGGTACCATTTCTCTTACAGAACGTCTTTCCTTCATGGCTGGTCAGGTAGTCCTTCAGCCACACTGTACCCTGCCCTCTTTCCCTGCATTGTATTAGCGCTGTACTGGTTTTTGGTTTTGGTAATGTGACTTTGTGTAGTCTTTGAAGTAGTGGCATGTAAAGGTTAATTACTAATGTTTCCTTTACTTAGGAGATGTATTTATTGAAGTACTTAAAATACTTAGGTATTTAGCTAATAAGCAATATTAGTAGTTACAAAATTGTGTAGCCTAAATTACAAAATATGGTTTCTATGGAGGAGGATATTAACTGCTGCATTTGTGAGCTGTGCCACAATGAATATTAATGTAGAGCCCTATGAAGAAGTAGATATTCAAGTTGGTAAAGTAGAAGAGAAGAATGAGAAATCAAAACTACAGATGTTTCAGTTCATCAGTTTCAGGAAAACCTTTGCATCAGTCACTTAAATACACCCAGCTACACAATATTTTGTGTATTGCAATGATGTACCACAAATGCTTGTGTTTTCTTGAAACCTTGGGGAATTTTGTTGCATGTCCAAAATTTGCTTAAGGATATGGGTATTTGAAGTTACTGCTTTTGTGCAGTAGATAGAAGAAAAAAAAAAAAGATTACCCCTTGTGGAAGAAAAACTAGCATTAGTATTACTGCTCACTCTGTTTGAAATGCATTGGTTTTGAATGACTGAGGTTACCTGAAGACAACTTCAGCCTCAGAAGAACAGATTTTGACCAAGGAGTTCTTGTAGCCTGTCAGCAGTGAAATTCTTGAATTAACAAACATTTGAGTCAGATTTCTAAATCTTTTTTGATTTTTGTGTGTTTTTTTTTTTAACTTGTGGCACTTCTTGATGAGTAAAATGTTTCGTTTCTTCAAGATTATGCTAAGTAATGACCCACTTGTGATTTTCAGCAAGTTTAATTGAAGGATAAAGTGAGTTGTAATTCTTTTTTAGTTCAAAGAATGGTTTTCAGGCTCCTGTTGTACTCGTGTTGTACTCTGCCCTTTACGTTTTCCCTATAAGGAATCTCCCAAGTAGTCTATTCTGACTGGAAAATTGACGTCCTCTGTTAACTGTTTCAAAGAAATTAGTAAGCATGGTGTTGCTTTTCTGATTCTCATTGTGATGCCGTACTTGATAACGGTGAAGATGAGAACAACTCTAAGATACATTACTGCAACTACTCTTTATTTCACACAGTTGGTCTATAGGAGTATTTGGTTTAGTTCTTACTTCCCCTGGAATATCTAAGGAAACCATTTAACCAAAAATATTTTTCAGCATGGCTTGTACTTCTTGCCTTAAGTTTATCTTGTAAAGGTTGAGATGAAAAAAATAGCCAAATTTCAAATGCACGAGAGTGAACTTTGTCACCAGTTTCCATTTAAGACTCATGCAATACTAGGTAGTTTTTATGCAGCTACTTATATTCATTTTTCAGCACACAAAGCTGAAATTCAGCACAAATGCTGTATTGTCTATCATGGGGTACCCTACTTAGATCCATGTGTGTGTTATATCTAATGAATTGATACTCTGGTGAGAGCTATATGTTTTCAGATTAAACTTTTGATCTGATTTTACTGAAGATAACTAGGTTTGGTATGTTCATGGAAAAAAGTTTCAAGAATGCAGTTCCAGTTTTTGTTGTTGCTATGAAGTTGTGCATACTAATATTCAGGAGTAAATTAGCCATTTCTTTGTAGGTTTGCCTATTCTGCTCACAAAGCATGGTATTTCTTAGCTATGGATTTTTTTTTTCTTGAAACTGCTTTGGATAATTTCAGGAAAATGAATTTCATAATACTTCTGAAAGATGCAGTTGGCACTAGAACAATTCCATGTTGTTACTGTATGAATTAAGGCTTTTAGTTCAGGGTTTTCTTGTAGCTCACATGTTCTTCCACTTCCATCATTTATGTTCCTGTCTGTTCCGTAAGTCTCGAAAGGACTGGACAGGACAGAACCTTTTTGTTCTATGTTTGGGTGTTGATGGCTTTAAACAGGTTATATCCATGGTACTCTGTTACCACAGACTAATGTTTATGCTTAAATTTGCAGCAACTAATGTGTGTTCCATTTGCTTTGTACTTAATCCTAAAAGGTACATGTGAAAGTACTGCTGTATTTCTAGTCACAAGGATGGCATAATGGCCTTCTGCTAAAAAGGTGGGAATATGTCCTCAGCTGTTAGACCAGTTGCCCTGTCATCTCTTTAAAACAACTTGTAAAATTCTCGTCTAGTGCAGAAGGCTCATATCATGCTGAAGTTCTGTTAGTGACCTCCTTCCTGTCTCATGTGGATCTAAGGAGGATAGTTCCAAAAAAACTTTACTTTTATTTCTTTATTTTTTATTTTGATGGCAGGTAGTGTGCTTTGTACTGACGCTCCTGTGTGCTGTCAGTATTGCAGCTTTCAATATTGCAGCAGTCTGTGTATCACAAAGCTGTACATATCGTTGCTCGTGGAATTTTTAATGATAATATTTTAGTCAATTGACTTTCATTATTTTATTAGATATTAAAGGAAGTAAGCTTTAAAATGTTTGGTTTCATTTAAGTTTATGTAGAGGTACTTGAGTTGTTGTTTTTTTTCTTTTTAAGGTCAAGAATTATTGAAATTGCGCTAAATTGGGTAAATTTGTACCAACTGGTCTTGAAAAGAGAAGTGAATGAGAAATGTAGCATGTAAAGTATGCATCACACGTGAAGTTTTGACTTGCTTTAAAATTGTGTGATGAGTTCATAATGCATTCTCTGCCATGTTTAGTAAAGATTGTGACCCTTAAGAAATAGGCTACCTCCATAAGAACTTTTTAGTGTGTGTATACTTCCTGTCGAAGTATTCAGATCAGAGAAGTATTGGTAGTGACTGGGTTTTATAAAAATGTAGCCATTGGTGACTGTTTTTCTGTCGGAGCTGGGCTAGGTAGGTATTTGGGAGTACGAAAACCTTGGAGGCAGCCTTTGAGAGGATCAAGATAGAAAAGTGACTCTGAAGTGTAATGTACAAAACTGATTTTTTAAGTTTTGAAAAGAACTTCGAGTTTTGTTTTTTTTTTCTGTAAGCAGCAGTTTTATATAATCTTGATTGTCAGAGAAAGCAGATTCTTGTTAAAGCTCTACTGGAAGAAAATGCAGTTCAAGTACAGTACTTTTAGATTGTGGTGTGTAATAAATACACTTGTGTTATGTGAAAGTTCTTGGAAGGTCTGTCTGAGGGAGCCAGGTACTTTGAAAGCCATATCCTTTCTTGAACCATGTGGTCGAGGATGTTATCCTTTGGTCTTTTGTTCTGATCATTCTGATGAGACAGTACTGACTGCATGATGACCCTCTGTGAGGGTTGGTACTTCCACATCTGGTCACTGTTGTGAGTAATGAGGCACTTGTACCGTTTGAGCAAGTTTATACTAACTTGTTCTGTTGTTACAGGCTCTATTGTAGGCTATTCTTACAAGCAGTAGGAACAATCAGCAGCACTGCTGTTTCCGTAATAATGAATTTAACTTCTCCATAAATAAGTCTTGAACTTATCTTAAGGAAGTCAGAATGTTTTGAGGAAATAGTATTTTCGTGCAAGTAGCATCTTAACTGAAAACAAATGAGCACACAACTTTGAGAGCCTGAAAGCTTCCAAAAAAAAAAATTGTTTGCAGTTACAGCATATCTGTTAGCTAGCTACCTTTATAACAGGTTCAAGTTTCTAATGTCTAAAATTTTGTTGTAAATGTTGTCTACATCTTAACCATGGTCCCAGGTGCTTTTTAGAAAGGGGGTCAGCTTGTTCTGCCCTTAGTAACCAATATTTATAAATGGCTTTAGCTAATAGTAATTTTGAATTACCAAACACTATGCCATGCAACCAAAGGAAATTATTTAATGTGTCCCAACTTAAGGAATTATATGATGATTTGAAATAAAAATGTCATGCAGAATCTTTTTCTTTTTTTCCCCCTCATTGTGTTGTAGAAGAGTGTGATACTTGCAACTACTGAATTCTTTAGCTTCTAGTCGAAGAAAATAAATTTTGTTCTTTCATGGGTAAAGTCTAGAATAAGAAAAACAGTTTGAGACTATTTAATGAAGGACCATGACAATGTAAGTATTGTAATTTCCTTTATACTTGTGTTAGGCAAAGGGATTACTTTGTTAAACTTCTGGCGTTTGTGTCAAAAATACCAGAAATGTTATAGTTGCCCTGACTTCTTATGCTTTTCCTAAGCAACAAATTACAGTAATTGAAGTTTGGCAGCTTTTTTTTTTTTTTTTTTTTTTTATGAAAAACTAAATTATGGGTTAAAACTCCTTGGTTTAATACAATTTGTGTTTTTGTCAACTAGCAGCAGAATTTCAGCATTTGCTACTTACTGGTAGAGAAGAAATATCCCACAGCACTGCCAGTACAGGTTAGTTTAATCTGTAAGTACCTGACATTTCTATTTGAAATATGTTCAAATGATACCGTTTCAGTACAAGGGGAATTTTGATCTCTGAAATGTCAATGTATCTTTCTTACCTACTACTGTTTTCAGTAGTGAGTGAACATCCAGATTTTTTTTAAAAAAGATCTCTAATGATTTTAACTGCTCGTGTGGGTCAGTAATATCTGCAAGCACAAGGAAAATTTAATGTAAAACCTTAACAGGTTGCCTTTGGTGTTACTGAAAAACATAAAGATATTAAATCAAAGTTAGTTCTTCGGTATCGTGCCTGTTACAAATGGCTGTTTTATCAGTGAACCAATTACAGGGTATTATATTGGCTTTTATGTTGGGGAATAAGCATTTCTGTTCTTAAGATTCTGTAGCAGTAATGTGATCTTTAAATTTTTCTTCAGTTTTAGCTAATTACTGCCTATTGCCAACAGAATTTTAATTTGCTAGACTTGTAAGTTGGGAGCTTCTTGTTCTATGATTTATTAGCTTGCTTTTATTTAAGCCCTGTGTACCTCATCTCTATGTTATCAGCATGGGAGATGAAAGTTTTTTGTGCTATGGCACATTGCATAGTTTCATAAGCTGTGAAACTCTGTGCCTTAACATACACTTGCAAAGTGAATCATCACACAGTAAATCTGAGGGGCTTTTGAAATCATTGGTGGATAATTGTGTAAAAACAAAATACTGGATGATTGTGTACTAGTGTGGTAGCCAGACAGAAACGTTAGTTTTGCCAGCTCATATGAATGCTTTTATACTCTGTTTTCATAAGTGATTTGACACTTCCAGCAGTATTGCTTGTTTCAGAATTTTGAAGTATCATACAATGTTGCACAGCTCATCATACCAAAATGTAAGGTTTCAAGGGGATTTGCTCAGTAATGAGTTGAAATAAGTAACTGATTGCTTTTGGCTGCTGAATTACCATGTGAAGTCTCAGTTTTGACAGTGGTTGAATGCTGACCTGCTCTACTTACACCCCAGACTGGGAGTGAATGGGGAATAACTAAAGGGTAGTGGTGTTCTGTTTCATCAGCAAAGAGTGCATTTCTTTGGAATAGATCCTAATATGAATCATAGAATGGCTTGGGTTGCAAGCGACCTTAAAGATCATTTAGTTCCTCCCCTCCTGCTATGGGCAAGGACACCTCCCACTAGATCAGGTTGGCCATGGATCCATCTAACCTGGCCTTGAACACCTCCAGGGATGAGACATCTGCAGCTTCTCTGGGCAAGCTGTTCCAGTGTCTCACTATCCTTTCGGTGAAGAATTTCTTCGTAATGTTTAATCCAAATCTATCCTCTTTTTAATTTAAGACCATTTCCCCTTGTCCTAGACCATGAACTATGATAGAATGCCATCTCCCTGCAAAACTTTGACAAATAACTAAAGAGTTTTCTGGTAGAATTTCTTTACTTTTAGGATGGGACCAAAACAAAATATGAAATCTGAGCTTTCACAATCAGGTGAGCGGTCTTAATTTGTAGCTCAGGTTCCGATGCACTGTTTCAGCAGCTGTCCAGTCTAACGCAATTCAGAAGTCTTTACAAGTCTGATACGGTAAGCAGGGAGCAGTGAGTCAGTTCCTTTAGCCTTCTGCTTAATGACTCCAAATTGCCCCTTCAGATTCTAGTCACTGTGTGGCAAACTTGAACTCTGGTTTTTAGTTCCTTCTTAAGGTATTTTAAAGCACATAATTGAAGTAAGTATCCTCTCAGTAGTAATACAGCCACAGAAGTTAGTGTGTCAGGAACATTTTTCTTGTAACTTGATCCACCTTTTGTGTAAGTGATATGAAAGGGAAGGAATCACTGATCTTTTGAAAAAAGACAAGTGGCAAAATATTAATGTTGAATTTAATCCCAAAAGGTGGGAAATTGGTAAGTATGGGCATCACTTTCATGCATGCAAATAATAGTAACAGTAACCGTAGCTTAATTTTATTAGCATTCAGTTTCCAAAGAAGATTGAAAGAAAATACGGAGTTAACATCACTTGCATCCCTTGGGAACTGTGTGCTTCAAGAATGGATAATTAACATGTACAAATCTGTAATGTATATCTACCACTTTGTAACAATCTCTAATTAAACATAAGTGAACCACTGATTCTGTGTATTTTTTCTCCTCTCGAGGACCTATTTAAATCATAGCAACAAATGTTAGCTGTTTCAAAGTGCTTATAAAATTCACCTTTACCCATGTTTTGGTTTGTATGACTTTGTACTAGCTCTCTGTCTATAAACTATGCAGGAACTCATTCATATGAGCCTTATCTCGAGTTGATTTTACACCTGGAGACAAGCAAGTGAATCTCAAATTTTTACTCTTTAACTGTCTTTTGGTGCTAATCTACTGTCCTTTTTCTGTACAAAAATGTATGGGCTACCAGTCAAAGGATTGCTGTCTACAATCTCAGGTGCCTGGCAGGCTGGATTTAAGAAAACAAGTTACAAGACAAAGCCTCTTGGCCAAGTCTTGTGTTTTAAGTTTTTTGTTGTGATAGCAGTTTGTTTTAAAACAAAATCTTTGCTCTTGTCACAGCATGTGAGCAGGCTATATGAATGATTAAGAAGTAAATTCTTGCTTTTAGCTTGCATGCTTTTCAGTAAGATCTTCCTATTTCTGCTTTGGGCTATGCCATGTTGAAGCCACTCTTATTGCCTATGCAGACTTGAGAAAACTGCCTTTGCTCAATTAACTTTTCAGATCTCTTTCCATTGTTGCTGCGTCAGGGCTGGGCAGAAGGTGCTTTCTCCAGCACCCCAGCTCTCTGGCTGCTAGCAGTTAAGATGTTGTCATGGTTTGTCCTTCCGGCATGCCTTTCTAGCACATCTCAGGTTAAGTTGCCATTGATGTGTTTTACCAAAATCTGCCAGCCTGGATTGCACAACCAGGAAGTGCAACCTGTGAACCAGACAGCTTTGCTGCTGTGTCTCTCTCCCAGGTTGAAAGCAAGGTACGGAGACAACTGTTGCCTAACCAGTACTCACAAGCTTTGCTTCTTCCTGGGTACCGGAAAGTGAAGGCTTGAACTAGATAGGATTTTCCTTGGTTTCATCCTGTTTTGAGATTTAAGTTGATCTGAATTCGTAGTACCTTGCAATTCCTTTTACAGTTTTGGCTGTGCCCAGATCACGAGTGAAGTTGGAAAAACAAATCAGACCTTACTGCTGTTAGAACTATACCTTCAGGTAGGGTAATTCAGCTCATGTATTAATTGTGATTCTTTTTAAAGGTTATTTACCATGTTAAAACTTAAGCTATATTATAGGTCTTCTAGAAAATTTTAGCAACTCTGTCACTGTCGAACAACACTAAATTCAAAGAATAATTGGCTCCTTTATTTTTAAAGACTTCATAGTTGCAGAAGCAGTACTGACAACAAACTCCTTTTTTTTTAAAATTAGTAAATAAGGCTAGACAACTTTTTCAAGAATAGATATAACGTGTAAGTTTGTCTGTTGTATATATAGCATGTGGTTATCTTGGATAATGCTGCAAAAACACTTTCCCAAGTGCAGGAATTGTTTGGACTGTGAAATCATAGCAGCTCCTACAAGTAATATTTTATGTCACGACTCTGTAACCGCCTTTGTCTGCTTCCCTCCCGTAGCTATAGATGCATGCAGTATGGTTTGCAATGTTTACATAGAGAAGCAATGTAAAGTGATGTAAAAACTGAGACCTGTTTATCACTTCTGATGTTTGCAAAGTCAATTTTTTAAAATTGCTAATTATTCCTCTCTGCTTCCATAATAGATGTTGGCTTGCAGTTGATGATGCATAGGTGTATTTAATACATGGTATGTGGTAGTGAGTGAAGTATGTTAGAGCCAGTGTAGTGTATATGTTGTAAGTTCACTTAAACGTTTTGTTTACAGTTCAGGGAGAAGAAAAAACACCATACAACTAACAGTAGACACATTCTTTTACTGATAATGATCACCCAGAAATTAGCTGAATGTCCTAGTCTTTGATGAAAGAAAGCAGGGATCCCTGGTATGCCTGTTTATTTTGGAACTCAGTTCTCCAAAAGCTGGGGTGGGGAGGAGTAATAGTGGGCCTTCTTTCTCTCACCTTTCCCCAAGTAAATATAGGAATTATTGCTGCTTTAGATATAAATTTTGTTTGGTGACTCCAAAATCATAAAAGACTTCTGTTTGAAGATATATTTTTACTAGTAGGTTTCAAATTTTTTAGATCCTTATTCATAGCATAGGAGTAGTTTGTGGTTATCTTACTACCTGGTGTCCAGCCAATGCAGTCTTTTTTTCTTTAATGTGACAACAGGCCTTTTCCAGTGCTGCGCTGTCTAACAGTGCAGTAGGTACTGTTAATGTACTAAATGCTGTGTACTCTGGTGCCAGTTGAAATGTTATTTTCAACCTCAATATTGAAAGCAACAAGACCATTAAATGAAAATCCTAAATAAAATGTCACATTCTCATTTCCATTGGGCACTGAATCACGATGGAGTGCCAAGACTGGAAATTCCTTGATATGGCCACGTATGAATAAATTTCTATCCTTGGTCCAACCTGAAACTCTTCTGAGAATGTGACCTATCATGGTATTATTCCATACAGTTCCATGTAGCCACTTCATTCTCTTCTCATCTAAGGACCCACTAATTAATTTATCAATTTTATTTTTTTGCACAATCTTGCTTAAGCCATAGCCCTTTCCTAGGAAAAAGTGGGTGTAGATTCTTTTCTTTCTGGGAGGAACATCTTTCATCTTGATGTCATATAAACGTTTTAGGGTTTGAAGTGCTGAACTTAAAATTTCGTCTTTGGCTGAATTGGGCTCTTTGTCTAATGCCTCATCTGGCCAAAATAGTAAGGTCAGCAAAAAATAGGCACTTGCTGGCAACATTCTTTTTCCTTTACAGAATCTTGTGCTGAGTTCACGGAGAGTTTGCATTGGAAGAAGTTTGGCTGATCCTGGTGATAAACATGCTAATACAATGTGGCTCAAAATGTAATTGATCAGATCGGTGTCCTCCAGCCTGTCCCTTAGTGCATTTTCTGGATAGAAACTAAGGATCTCTTCTAGCTTTTCAGCTGACCTATTCTCTTTCTTATCTGTCAAGAATGACAGGATATTTGTGACGCTGCCTCCACCTCTCTTATAAATAGTCATGCCTTTCATCAGCTGGCTCTTAGGACCACTGTTGTCCCCAGTAAGTGATGCTGAGATGAAGAATTTCGCATATACCTCAGACTGTCTTTTCAGCCATTTCCGGGGATTATAAACTTGTTCTTCCTTTTCAGCTTTTCCATCGTCGTCTTCCTTCTCATGGTTTTTATCTGTTTGGAAATAACTTAGGTCTTCTGAAATCCATTCCAGAGCATTGTACAGGTTCTGGCGTAAGCCTCTTAAGCGTGAGTGAAGCTTTCCCCATGTTTTTTCAATGTCTTTAGGAATGTAATCTGTGATCAGGTATTTCACAAGCTCAGAGTGCTCCCCCTCTGGACTTGCGCGAAATACATCAAGTGTGGACAAAAATTTAAGGAGACGACATCCTACTTCTACTTCTCCAAAATAGCCAGCGTTGTTCATATTATCTGTTTCTGCTTTTGCAGCCTGTTGCGCAGCCCTGAAGCATTTCATAGCTTTAAGAGCAATCTCTATCTTGTCAATGTCAGGAATGTCTGTCACTTTATCCACGGTGAAACTAAACCATTTCCTGTAGACTTGACCTTCTGTATCCAGAATGTAAGAGTCATTTGGCAAATGAAGTTTTGCAACACCTACCCAATATTTTGCATCTTCAAATTTTTCATTATTGTAATGCAGTCTGGCAAGCTGCTGGGCAAAAAAGGCATCTTTTCCAAGGAGTTCGTACGCAGCTTTTAAAACAGCTATAGCTTTTTCACAGTCTTCAGCTTTACAGACGTGTTCAATGAATGGGGAGAAGAGGCTGTCTGTATTATCGCCCCTGCTTCTCTTATCACGGCGAATAAACAGATCTCTGATGAATTTTATGAATTCCTCTCGTCCAAATCTATTTTCAAAAAGCATCCTTTCCTGAAGAAGAGACATGGCAATTTGACTTTGAGGTTGGTTCCTTGAAAGCTGATACAAAATTTCTTTTGCAACCAGACAGTGTATTATCCGAACAGATGAAATATAGGTGGTACTTTCCCTTAGTTCAATGAAAATCATTCTTGCTTGTTCGCTTAAGTTACTTTTAAAATCATATGCTCTTGACTTTGTTTCTGTATAGGCACCCAGTCCCAGAAAAGCTTCACAGTGTGATAGTGAAACGTATGAATTAGGTACATAAAAATTAAGCAAAGCCACATAGTGCATCAAACGTGTATCACGGGAAGAATGGTCTATGTCTTGCAGTATGTGGCCTACAAAATCTCTCACATATGTTTCATTGAACTCCTCACACATCAAGACAAATGTAAGTATGAATTTTGGCTCGACATATTTCTGCTTCAGTTTTTCAAGTTTAGTTTTGAACAGAGTTTTCTCTGAGTCTGTCAGCTTGTGAGTAACGGCTACTGTGTCCAGAGGAGAAGCCTTACAAAGCCGTTCAGGGTCATTGGATCGTCTACAGGACATGAGAATGAAGTAAGGTCTGGGGGAATTAATTTTTCTAGTTGCTACAGCATCCATTAAGTCATTTCTTATTTCTTCTAAATAGTCTTCATCATAATCTTCAATTAAGAGGAGCACAGGAAGACAATGATTGATTTCTTTCTCTTCGTAATCTCTAAATGCAAGTGCATGCTCACAAACAGTTGCAGGTGAATATGAGGATTTGATAACAGCACATCTTAAGTCCTTTCTTCTTTTCCATAGAACTTGCCGTGCTATTGTGCTTCCACCACTTCCAGGATGGTGGAATATCTTTAGTTTTGCCACAGAATAGTTGAGTCCAGTTCCTTGTAAAATGTCATCTAGGAGTTTGCTAGCGTCCTTGCATGCTTCACGTTCGATGATTTCCCCACAGTGTCCTTTATCAGCAAGCCAGAAATTTTTCCAGGTGATTTTTCTCCCTTTGTAGAAGTTTTGTTCTATTTCTTGTATTTCTTTTTCAGACAAAAGATCTAATTTAGTATCATCACACTGATCGACACAAAGGATTTCTAGAGAAAACATTTTCTCTTCTTCTAGCGAAGGAAGCATGCATAGTGCTCGTGTGGAAACTGGCAGATGTCTGGGGTGTGCTGTAGAAGGCAGCATTTTTTGAATTGTGGCATCTACATGACTTAGTTTCATTCCCACAATGCTGCGTTGTTCTAGGGTCTCAATGCTGCACGATGTCTGAGCTAGATTAGCCCACTTCACATAATTTTCTCTGGACTCTGCAATGCAAATGATGTACTCCATGCCATTCATCTCTGTATAGAATTCCTGAAAAGTATCCACAATTGGTTTCTTAACTGGTGATAGCAATAGGAAAAGCACAATGAAAGACCGCTTTGGCAGGATTTCATCACAGATCCGAGTGATTGCTTTCTTAAGGTATTTCTTTTTGGTTCTAATCCATGTGTTTTCATCACATGGTTTTCCTTCATCCCCACGGTAGTCGCTGCGCCCATTGCAGAATATCCAACTAGTCTGATCAAACAGACACAAATGTTTCTGAGATGGAGGATTGCCAGTCTTGCTTTCATTGGAAAAATCCTGTAAAAAATAAGACCTTGTTGCATGGTGTTCTTTGTACTTTCCATACAGTCCTGACACAGAATGTTCATCAAAGTCAAAGACACAGAAAACGTTCAAATGCATTAAGAAGTTGATAGAGTTCAGGTCATCCTCTGTACATCTGTTTGTGACAAGGATGTACCGTAGGGAATCATCCATGTAGTTCTTGCCATCATTTAGTAGAATAGATAACTTCCTTCCCAAGTTTTGAGATACTTCTGTATGTACTTCTGTACTGAGAAGCTCAGCCTTTTCTCTTTGAGCATCCCTGTCTTTTGAGCCCTCAATAAAAGCAATTAGGTCGTCGGGCTTTACAAGTTCAGATTTTGCTCCTAGTCTCTGATAGAGAGACCGTTCTTTTGTCAGGGTCACCTTCTGGCTGCTTTCATTGTATTTAGGCAAATAAACATCAAAAGTTTGATTCTTCACTAAGCTGGATGTTGGTTCAATATCAACCTCCACCACAAATCTTTGTTCCTGAGAGTCTTTTGAAATCACTTCAATAAAAACAGGTGGGTGGATACATTTCCTTGCAGTTTCTTGCTTAGTTTCAGGAAAACACTTTTCTATGTAATCTAATGCATCAACATAGTGTTCCCTATCTTTGACCTTTATGCCAATGATCTGCCCGTGTTTATAGCCCTTATCTTCAACACTGTCCATGATACCAAAATGTATGGTGCCGTTTGTTCGAATGTTCATGCAGGCTGAAGCAAATCGTATCACTTCATAGGCAAACTTTGACTGCAACTGCTGTCTGTTCAATTCTGCAGCAATGGCAAAAGACTTATATTCGTGACACGGTATGATTAAACCATTGACACCTGTTTCTGGAGAAAGAACTTGGCCTTTCACGTACTTGAAATCAGTGTCTTCACTTCTAAACGGTCGGTATTTGCTGATGTCTAAAACTTCATCAGTATTTTGAGGTTGGGATTTATTTCTCCCTTGCTTCTTGCTTCTTGCAGAAGCTGTGTTTTCTCCACTTGTTTCATGTGGTGGGCCACAGCTGTCTTTGCCTAAACTTTTTTGAGGACCGACATCTTTGGGTCTTACTGAATCTCTTTGTGTATCAATTCTGGCAGGCATTTTGCTACTGAAATGCTTTTCTTGTTTTGTATTTTCCTGTTGCTGCTGAAGCTCATCTCTTTTGAGGAGTAAAATGTGGATTTGGCCTTTCTTCATACCTATTTTTTTGAGGAAAGGTTCATTCAGTTTCATAAGCACTGGACCTGTCACTTCTTCTTCATGTAGTTTTCTTGTATACTCTTCCTTGATTCCAGTAGATTGTAGCCAGCATTGGACATGGTTCTCATCCCACTTATCCACAGGTAACGTGTTGTAATCTAGGAACCAAAATTCTGTGTTACTAATAATAGCTGTGTTGAATGCTAAATTGTTTTCTTTCTACCAGCTACAATGAGAGACTGTCTTCTCAAATATGTCAGTTCTGTCTAAAAGTGTCCTTACCTTTAATCAAGAGCAGTCCTAAGCAATGGTACAAGACTAATAATCAGTGAAGTGAGAAACCACGAGGTTTGGAAACTACTTCAAAACATCTGGGGTTGTTTCCATTACTCCCCTTTTATAAGAGGATTATCGCAGAACTGTAGGGGTTGGAAGGGACCTCGAAAGATCATTGGGTCCAACCCCCCAAGTGATAAGATTATTGTAACTGATTGCTTATGTGATAAGGTTATTGGAACTGATGGGCTGAATTCCCTAAGCTTGAAGAGGTTTAGGTAGATTATTTGCCCACTTGAATTTGTTTATTTACTGATCTATGAAGATAAGTTATTATGGATTGTAATGGTACTAAAATATTGATTAGTTCCCCAGTAGAGATGAACCTTTAAAATGCACTTATTAAAAAGCAAATCACTATATTCAAAGTGCAAATTTTCTGAAAGCAGCACATACCCATTGTCTTTGCAGGGGAGAAATCCTTCGGTTAATGAATAAAACCCTAGAGGTGAAAAAACAATTGTTAAATAGTAACAGTTAACATTCCTGTTACTTACAGTTGACTTATTTCTTTTCCCCTCCCCTCCCCACTTTTCTTGTGGTACAGGGTAGTTTCTGTACCTCTAAAAGCCTGTTCTTGCCAGCTACAGTGCTTCTGTGCACCTGTGCTGTATGAAGCCACCTGTTCTCTGACACGTGTGAAGAGGCATCTGCTGATAGATGGGCACAGCTAACAGCTACTTCTGCTAGATACAGAAAAAAGGTGGCCTTACACTCCTGTTTCCCTCAGGTTGCATTGTATCTCTTTTTTTAAAAAAAAAATTATTTTATTTTTTAAATCTCCCCTTCTTATTCCCTCTCTTGTGCTCCTTTTTTCTTTTTTGTGTGCTTGTTTTTCCCCCTCTATTTTTCTATATCTGCTGTGCTCACTGAAGCCGCATAACTTGCTGTCCCACCGAGCAGAAGATTCTTTGGTTTGGGTTAGAGGGGGTGTCCTGGCCTGATACTTGACATGCTCTGCTTTGCTCAGACTGCATTTACTGTGGTATAGAGATGGGCTCCAGCAAATATATCTATATATATATCTTCTGTAGGAAGAAACATGTTAAATAAGCATGCTCAACATAACAGAAATTTACCTTAGATTCACTGTAAGCTAACAGTAACCATCCCTGAGCTAGGGGCCACTTAACGGGAGTCACAGCAAAGGGGTTGGGGATTCAGGGGGGAGTCATTGCTCTTACTGTAGTTGCAAGCTCAACTCTACTGGTTCAGCAGGTGCCTGTAGCCTGGTAAGCCCCATGCCTGCAGCTGATGGCATTACAACAGCATCACCTGCAGCTTCCTCAGAATTCAGGTTTCCAAGGAGCAGACTCACCAGTGCAGCCAGCATAAAAAGCAGCTCAGTAGGGCTTTGTTGAAGCTCTCAGAAAGATCTGAAAGTCAGAAGCCTGCAACTTGGAAGGTGACTGGAGTCCCCAGGACCAGGACTTGGCGAGAGGTGAGTTCAACAGTGGTTGTTCAGTGAGACAGCTGGGCCTAGGTGAATGGGGGAATGCTGTAAGAACTTTGGAGCAAGTGCCTGTTTTAAATTTAAGTGCCTGGTTAGTGCTGTGGAAAGTTTGTGGGCTGATTAAAGAGCCAGCATGCCCAAATAGATCTGGTTTGAGCAAGCAAAGTACCCGGTGTCACTGAGGGGACCAACTGTTCTGGCACTGTTGTTAATTCTTGTGCCATGTGCGGAAGTGGATCCTTCCAAAATCGGTGTACACAGGCTGCTTATTACAGAGTTCAGAGGCCAGTGAGAGGCCTTATCTGTCACATAAATACTAGCCTAGTCTATCAGTGCCTTTTGCCTCTGCTCCGCCTCCCAGGGCTGCGTTTATACAGGGATGTGGCTTGTGGTGTGCCATCCCCCGCCCTGCACACTTCATTCTGTCACACCCTAGTGGGACAGAGCCAGCATCAGGCCACCAGGCGTGGCTTTGGTGAAAACGAAACTTAACGGGGAATAGAAACTTGGAGTGTGGGGGAGGGGAGGCACTGCCCTGGCCAGTGGGCTCATGCTCCCCCCAGTGATAAAGAGCACCTGGGGGAGGCAAGTTGCTGCTGCAGGGCCCACCACCGTGCCACCTGTGTGCATTGTACCTGTGGAATGGGGTGTGTGGGGGATGTCCTGTCCCAGCCCCTCCTGCCCCTGGCCCCAAAATTCAAGAGCTGCTCAGCAAGACAGCTCCACACACCTTTTGGCAGCAGAGCGGGACAGAGGGCAGTGCAGGGGGAGCCACACTTTTCAAGCTCTGCTACCAGTAAAGTAAAGTCAGGCTGAGAATAGGTTTCCAGGTTTCCCACTTACCTACAGCTTTCCCCCAGCCCTATTTGCTTGAGCATGCAGGACCAACCCAGAGAGCTGCGGGATGGCTTGCAGATTGCAGAGGCTTACCTTGCAGAGCAATGTGGGAACCAGGCTGCTTGCAGTGCTGTTTCCAAATCCTGTCCGCAGGGAAAGTGTGTCTATGGGGAGGGGGGGGAGGAAGGTGCAACAGCTGCAGTGCTAAGCCCTGCTTGCTGAGCCTTGTCTTCCACACTGTTCTTGTGGGTTTCTTCTAGAGGTATCTTAACTCTCTCTGTCAAAAAAAAAAAAGGAAGTAGTTTATAAAAAAAAAAAAAACAAAACAAAAAAAAAAAAAACACTTTAATGCTCCACCCCTTCCTGGCAGTACTGTAGCAGCACAGCCCTGCCTGTAGCTTCAGCAGCTCTGCCTCCTGCAAGCATTATCTGGTGAGGTGCGCACCCAAGTGATGGGCAGCATCATGCCAAAGCAGGGTAATCAAAGTGCTTGGGTGGGGTATGGTGAGTGGTATATAGTTTAATTATGTAGATGTCCCCTTCCCACCTGTCTATATCATGTTTGTTTATGCCCCCTTCCCCCCCCCCCCCCCCTCCCCTTCACCAAAGTAGCCACCATTCGCTCATCCCTCTAACTCTGGGGCAGAGCTGCTGGGCTGAGTCACACTCCAGCAGACAGATTTTGTAGGTAGCTTTTTCCTGTAAATCACATGGTTTTCTTTCAGCTTAGTTTCACATAAATTTTATTTTTAGTTACAAGAACCTCAGTACTGTACAGCAGTAATTTTTTTTGCAGTCACTCCAGCTGTTTGAGCTTACGTGTTCACCTGTCTTAGCCACCACCAGGTAGGTGCCTTTTGCCTGGGGACTGTTAGGGCAACTAAGTGAGGGTCCTGGGCCTTAAGGGAGGCTCACTGCTTGCTCCCCAGCCTCCCTCCCCCCATAACTTCTGCCATCAGAATTTTAGCCTTGAACAACAGGAAGCGAGTGCTTGGAGCAGGTCCTGAGCAGTGCGTGCCCTGTCTGTTGCAGGCAGGGTGTGGCTGCTGCAGGCCTGGGGTTCGTGTGGCCCTGCCCACCCCCCCTTCTCCAGCCCCTGTTCTGAAACCTGGGTTACTCCACACAGATCAGTGGGCCTGCTGATTTCCCCAGGCACGTGCAGTCATGAAAAGAAATTCTAGTTGTTGGTTTGTTTGTTTTTTAATCTGAGTACAAGTCTTTATTTAGTAGAATTATAAAAGAACTTTACATGAGAAATACAAAAATATGAAATAGTCTTTGAATCTTCTTAGGTAAAAACTACCCTTTTTTTCAAGCTTTAGAAACATGTAACTTGCACAGTTGGTGTCTTACATAAATTGCTTTTATACTTTGTAAAACTAGGAAAAACCTTCCAGTGAAGTTGCTCCAGAAAATTAGCTATATGTACCCAATCATACATATAATGGTCCATAACTTATTAGTTAACAAAACAATGGCACAGTCAGACAAATGAGCTTGTCCACTTTGTAGTTTCCCCTTTAACAAATTCCAGTGAAAGATGCAGTATCACTTTTCCAGTTGTTGTAATATGATTAAATAGAAACACAAATGATTAAGAAAGATTTGGCATGCTTTATACTTGTACCACCTTGATTTGATACTACTTTGTAGTAAAAATTAAATAAATATAAATATGTTAAATAAATACATTGTAAAAGAACACCCTCACTTCTATCATCAGAGTTCACCATTTCATCCTTTGCACGTACTTAATGCTTTGTCACAGCTTTTGGGCCAATGAAAAGAAATACTGCATCTTTTTTAAAAATGGTCTCCTGTGGACATAATTATCCATCTGTACAAATAGAAAATGAGGTTCTTCTACAGCTTTCATCCTCCAATTAAAACACTGTATAGAATGTTCACTGTTCTGTACATCTTCCATTGCTTCTGATTCAGTTTTTTTTTTCCCTCAGGATTCATCTTACCTCTGGCTCTGCACCTTGCAACCTTTCTCTGTAAGAAAGGAACACTTGCAGTAGATAAATCATTAGCCTCTCCCCAGCTAAGTTACTTGTTTAGCTCTTTTCTGGTACTGTGATTTTTTTTTAAGTCAAGTACTGTTCAAGCTCCTGTGAATACTGGTTGATAATTAAATGAGGTTTATTTTCAAAGTAGGTAAACCTTCAACTTTTTTCAAGTCAATATTGGTTTCAGACCTTCACTGTATCTGCTCATGTAGGAGGGACTAATTTTCCAGGGTAGTTAGGAATTAAATGGTAGTCTTTTTATAGGTTTTGGATAATTAAAAATTATTCCCTTTACAATCACTGTGGCATGCCCAATGCAGAATGTGGCAGTAGTGCAATGGTAGGTTCTGATGATTTGCTACAACTAAAAGGCTCCTTTTGCAGATCCCAGCCCCTAATAATTATGATATCAATCACTGTGTTTTGATTCTTTGCAGTAAAACAGAAGTTATAAAATCAAGTACGGTATAGGGATAGTGGATGATGGTTATACCCATCTTTTGCGCTCCTTTTTCACTGCCTGAAGACCCTTCTTGGGTAACTCCATCACCAGGGTTCATTGCTTTTGGAGCATCTTACTATCTCCTGATCCAGTGCAGGCAGAGTACAAGGCACTTTTTGGATGCTTGGTTTCCTCGAAGAGAAAGAATTCAGCTCTTTGAATTCCCTTTTCCCTGCTAAAGGTAGGCCTGTTTCACAGCCTTGTGCTTGGAATGTTGGTCCCAGATTAAGAAAGCTCCATCTCTCTCCTCTCAAACAGTGTCTCCTGCAAGGCTCTTCTGTGCAGAGTCCTGATTATAGTAATGCTGAAACAGTCTTTCTTGGCAGCAGATATGCATAGCTTTGTAGGTATGTAGGAGGAGGTGAGGGAAGCGAGCTGTGAAGTAACATACAAAATCATCTGGGATGGAGCCCAGGGTGTCCTGCACCTCAGGAGGCAGTTCTCTGTAATGGTGCTTCTGTGAAGACAGAAAGAAGAGGGAAAAGCTCATCCAGAGAGCATGTTCAAAAACCATTTTTTAAATAGGTCTGTCTGTACAAAGTGCATTTTCATGAACGAAGTAACTTTTTTTTACAGTAGACTAATATAGTAAAAAAAACATACATATATATACACCTAAAACAAGGTAACATGCAGACTGATAACAATGAACAAATGGAGGGAGAGCTACCGTGTGAAGAAGAAAAAAAAATTGCAGTGGCTGGAGGTTGCAGGGTGTGTATCCTGAGTACGTATATGCACAGACAAAGCGTTTACCTTGTTTCTCATTGCCCTCAGAAGATCCCGTACTGAGCCTCCTTTATACGATCTGAATTTTCGAAGATCTGCAACATAAAATACAAGATCTCTTTTTGTTTTTCAACACTGTTGTAGCTGCTGGTCTCAAAAATGAGGTGCCTGCAGTCATGTATGGCTACAGACTTGTTCAATATGTAAACATACAGCCTAATTTTATTACTTTGATGACAAAACTGAGACACCATCCTTATTCTGCTGTCCCTGCAACCTGGAACAACAGCATGCAACTCCTTTCCATTATGACAAACTCTCTCTTACCTGTCTGAAGAGGAACAGTGATGTGCTCTCTCCAGTCCATTTTCACCACCTCTCTTCCTCCTCTTTCTAATTGCTTGACTATTAGACCATCTAACGATTCTTTCTCTATCCGGTCACTAACATCCTAGAAGAGACATTCACGTTACTTTTAGTTGTATTTTGCAACCTGTCCCAGTAGCAGAGCTTTCCTTCTACCTCACTTCGTGACAAATTACAATACAATGCATTATGCTTGGGATTGGGATATAAAACCTTCTCGGATGATATGTATCACTATCTACCAAAGCTTTTTTTTTTTTTTTTTTAAATCATAGAATAGAAAAAGACTGAAAGGAACCTCAAGTCCTCAGCTGCTAACCACCCCCTGGACACCCACTGCACATATTTACCACAGCAGTCATTCCTTCCCTGTTCTTAAAAACAGGGAAGGTGTTCTGCACTGTACCATCTCAAACGTGCAAAGTAAAGAGAAACTGAATTCAGGATCTTAAGAATGACTACAGGCCTCCTTAAAACTAGAAGAATAAAAATGGTCAAGACAAACCTGAAAAAAATGGAGCTGTTTTTCCAAACTCCAAAAGAAGGGGTGTTTTAGCACACAGCTGGCAGATGGACGTTTCTGAGGGTCCATGTTTATCATTTGTTCTATTAAATCACGAGCAACTATGTCTTCTGCAAGGAAAAGAGTGATAATTCAATGTAGGGAATGCTAATGTTCTGTGTTGTTAGAAGATCATTGTTTGCTACTTCCTCCTATACAATCCTGAACACGAGCTAAAGTACTGCCCTTGTAGATAATCTGGTAGAGCAACAGAAAGCTTTGAATCAGTGTGCTATGAAGATCAAAGGTCACCTCTTTCCCACCCTTTAAATACATGGTAATAGCACTACAGTCAAGCTTTCAGGGCTCTTCTTTTTTACAGCTGGGATGCTTTCAGATACTAATTCAAAGACCTTTACTTAAGGAGTACAGCCTTCACCATTGCCATGTTGGTTTCACTGTGGGTCACTGTTCTACCATCTCTATTGCAATTTTAGCACCCATTGAAAGGTCAGTAGCACTTCAAGTTTACCATGCGTTTCTTACCGTGGCTCCCTGCATTCAAACACTCGAGGCTGTATGCACCCAGCAAAATGTTGGCTTGTCGCTGTAGAGATTTGCCAAAGGGATGGCTACCTTCAGATACCACATAATAGAAGACACAGCCAGCTGAAAAGATGTCTACGGTGTATGTCTGCAAATAAATGACCTTTAAGAGCAACATTTTTTTTTTTGCCCTGACAACTTTGAGCCTCATCATAGGGGTGGTTATTTTGCATTTGAGTGCAGAATAAAACTTTTCAGATTCACATTTTGCTATATAAAATTCATAAAAATTATAGGGGGAAGGGGCATTGTTAAATTAATTGGAAGCCTGCAAGAATGCTGAGACTTCCAGCATTACGCATCTTAAGGTTTGACCAACAACGTGCCACCTGCTGGTTGTGCTGCCTTTTCCCAGGGAAGCCTGAAGGAAAGAAAATACTTACAGGGTTTTCTTTACAGTCTTCACTCAGCATCTCAGGGGCAATCCACCCTTCAGTTCCTGGCACACCTGACCGACGGCTAAAGCTGTGTCTGCCCACTGCTAGCTTCTTGCACAGGCCGAAGTCTGAAATCATAGCTTTGACCTTCCCATGGGCATTAGGCATCGAGATGAGGATGTTATGGGGCTTCAGGTCCCTGTGAACTAT